ATATATGATTTGTATTTTGACATTGTACCTTGTATAAACAAAATAAAACGTCTATTTTCAATATTTTTAAAATGCACTAAAAGAATCACCAAGGAGAAATGTTCCACACAAAGGAGGAGAAAGAGTAGGAAGGCAGAGTCCGAGGTGACTGAGTTCAGGTGTTCTTTCCAGAAGGAGAAAAAGCCTTGCCTAAAGCTGGCTCTGGTCACAGTTTTGGGGAATTTCCCACAATTCCATGTGAGGAGAAGCAGCATTATCTAATCCACACGGTGGCAAGTCCGGGCTCAGCTCAGCAATGGTTTACACATCGTCTCTTCCCTTCTTCTTCTCTTACTTTCTTTGCTGTTTTTGATGTTTATTTCTAAAATCATGGGCCTAATCCCACCGCCTCATTTTATAGATGAGAAAATTGAGGACTGGAGAAGTTGTTCTGCCCACAGCCACGAAGCTCGGTTAATGCTAGAGCTGGATCAGAGCAGGAGCTGGGACACTGGGCCCAGTGACTCACACCTGTGATCCCAGCACTCTGGGAGGCCGAGGCAGAAGGATTGACTGAGCCCAGGAGTTCAAGAACAGCCTGGGCAACATAGTGAGACCCCATCTCTACAAAAAATTTTTTTTCTTGAAACAGTCTTGCTCTGTCACCCAGGCTGGGGTGCAATGGCGAGATCTCAGCTCACTGCTGCCTCCACCTCCCAGGTTCAAGCAATTCTCCTACCTCAGCCTCCCAAGTAGCTGGAACCACAGGCATGCGCCACCACACCCTGCTAATATTTATATTTTTTTAGTAGAGACAGCGTTTTGCTATGTTAGCCAGACTGGTCTCAAACTCCTGATCTCAAGTGATTCACTCACCTCAGCCTCCCAAAGTACTGGGATTACAGGTGTGAGTCATGGAGCCCAGGCAAAAGTAATAGGGAGTATAGGTGGGGTAGGAGGAGAGCAGTCCTGGCTGAAAACCAGCCACTAACTACCCCTTGTACAGCCAGGGGGAGGAGGGAGCCACTGTGGGCATTTGGGGGATGGGGCATGGGCATAGTGCCCAATCAGATATTCTCAAAGTGCCATTTTTCACTGACTTCTTTTTTGTGGGGGAGGGGACAGAGTCTCACTGTGTCGCCCAGGCTGGAGTGCAGCGGTGCAATCTTGGCTCACTGCAATCTCCACCGCAAGCAATTCTCATGCCTCAGCCTCTGGAGTAGCTGGGACTACAGGTGCACACCACCATGCCTGGCTAGTTTTTGTATTTTTAGTAGAGCCGGGGTTTCACCATGATGGCCAGGCTGGTCTCAAACTTGTGAGTCCAAGCAGTCTGCCTGCCTCGGCCTCCAAAAGTGCTGGGATTACAGGCGTGAGCCAACACACCTGACCTTCACTCCCCATGTCTTCAGCTGCCACAAATCTAAATGATTCACATCTCCCACTCTTCCCTCATTCCCTGCCCTACACGTTTGCCTTGAAGAAAATGGATTGCTCTTCGCCTTTTATATTTTGCCTTGATTTTCCTTGATCAAGAAATAAGACTTTTTTTTTTTTTTGAGACAGAGTCTTGCTCTGCTGTCCAGGCTGGAGTGCAATGGTGCAATCCAATCTCAGCTTACTGCAACCTCCACCTCCTGGGTTCAAGTGATCCTCCTGCCTCAGCCTCCCAAGTAACTGCGATTACAAGCGTGCACCACCACACCTGGCTAATTTTTGTATTTTTGGCAGAGACAGCATTTCACCATGTTGACCAGGCTGGTCTCGAACACAGGTGATCCACCCGCCTTGGACTCCCAAAGTGCTGGGATTACAGGCTTGAGTCACCGCAGCTGGCCAAGAAATAAGACTCTTAACTTTCCCCTTTTCATTTTTTTTTTTTTAACCATTTACAACGTTCTTTATTCCCTTGTATAGATGCAGACTTCCATTTTCTTCCTGCCTGTCTAACTTTTTAACATATATCTTGTGGTGTGACTTTCCCTGTTTAAACCCTTCTCCAGACATTAGGAAGTGGGAGAGCAGGGACCAAAAGACACAGGGAAAGACCCCCGTTTCTGACTTTCCACCCCTGTCGTCCACAAGGACCTCTTCCTCTTGGCTGAGGCTGCCCCCTGCTGGCTCGGAATTGCACAGCGCAGAGCGGAGTCCCGAGTACTGCGGGTTTGCCTCACCACGGGGCTGTGCTCCTTTGAGGCAGGACCAGCCCCACACAAATCACAGCCTCCCCCACACCTCACACTGCCGGGCACTAATCTAAACTCAATGTGTGCATATTTTAGGGAATATTAGGCACTATATTACCCGGGGGTTTAGTTGACACTTTACTCCCCTCAGTGACTGTAAATCCACCCATTCTAATGGCACTGTTCTTAGCTATTCAGGATGAAACACCCACTCCTCTCCTGAAACCTTCCGTCCCTCATCCTGACTCGCAGTTCACAGAGGAAAGTGCCATACCCGAGGCCCTCTGTCAATTACAAGGCTAAAATGCACTAAAAGAATCACCAATGATGGCAGGGCACAGTGGCTCATGCCTGTAATCCCAGCACTTTGGGAGGCCAAGGCGGGTGGATCACCTGAGGTCAGGAGTTTGAGACCAGTCTGGCCAACATGGTGAAACCCCGTCTCTACTAAAAAATACAAAAAACTAGCCGGGCGAGGTGGTGGCGCCTGTAGTCCCAGCTACTCGGGAGGCTGAGGCAGGAGAATGGCGTGAACCCGGGAGGCGGAGCTTGCAGTGAGCTGAGATCCGGCCACTGCACTCCAGCCTGGGTGACAGAGCGAGACCCCGTCTCAAAAAAAAAAAAAAACCACAAAAATTAGCCGGCCATGGTGGTGGGCGCCTGTAATCCCAGCTACTTGGGAGGCTGAGGCAAGAGAATCACTTGAACCCTGGGGGTGGAGGTTGCAGTGAGCCGAGATCACACCCCTGCACTCCAGTCTGGGCGACAGAGACTCCAATTCAACAACAACAACAAAAAACACCAAGGAGAAATGTTCCACACAAAGGAGGAGAAAGAATGGGAATGCAGAATTCCACTGGGGCTCCTCTATCCTGTTGGGGTGCCTTATCACGCACTGACACAGAGGGGCTGACCTCCCCTCTCCCTGCTCCCGCCGCGCGTGGGCACCTGGCCTGGGCGTGGCCTCCAGGGCCTCTCAGCTAGACTACAAAGCTGTTGAATACAGAGAATGAAGAGCACAGTGCTCACAGGGCAGTGCCCAGCAGTGGCCTCAGAAGCACTGACCGGCTGCTGGGCCTCCTGTTCCTGGGCTCTCCAGGAGACTTTGGGTCCTAACCATTTTCCAAACCTAAGCCTCCCATTTCCCAGGACTCTATGAGCCCCTCGTATCTTTCCAATACGTTTCTTTTTTCTTTGTAACAGATTCGGTTTTCATTACTTGTCACTGAAAAGTTCCTAGCTGATATGAAATTCGGTACCAGGAGTGGGTATTGCAAATTATGGAGAAGAGGGGAGATAAGGAACGTCTGCGGTTGGTTATCTGCCTTAGAGAGGAGAGAAAAGAGCAAATGTTCTGATGATATGCAGAGACAGGGACGGAGCAGCCCAGGAAGTTCGGTAATTAGTTCGCCAAGAGGTGCCTGGGATGTCATGCCCGCTGCAAGCCCGGCTCTTGGAGACTGTTGCTTCCATCCTGAGATCGTATGGCTACGAGAAATCTGAGGCCATAGGCGGGTGACTGCTTTTAATGGCGCTGAAAAACTTAGAGAATTAGAAGTTCAAATCTCTAAAGTCTGAATTCAAGCCACAGACTGAAACCTAAAGACTTCCTAGAACAACACGGAATTTCATCCCTTACAGATGCAAGGCCAGGATGTCTGAAAACCCGTCTTAAGAGTCTGAGCCTTTGGCTGGGTGCGGTGGTTCATGCCTGTAATCCCAACACTGTGGGAGGCCAAGGCAGGTGGATCGCTTAAGTCCAGGAGTTCAAGACCAGCCCAAACGACATGGTGAAAAACCCTGTCTCTACAAAAAACACGAAAACTATCCAGGTGTGGTGGCATATGCCTGTAGTCCCAGCTACTCAAGAGGCTGAGGTGGGAGAATTGCTTGAGCCCAGGAGGTAGCAGTGAGCCGAGATCATGCCATATAGCACTCCAGCCCGGACAACAGAGGAGACACTGTCTCAAAAAAAAAAAAAAAAAAAAGAGTCTAAGCTGTCAAGTTGAAGAACATTAGCTGAATCCATGGCCCCAGCAGGTTTCCCAGCTGGAAGGGAGAGCACTGATTGGAGAAGGGTGAGGTTCCTGTACTGGATTAAAAACGTAGGGGGACATTGGGAGGACTGATAGGATCCCCCAACCTCCCTTGCCCTCAGAAGCAGCCCTCAGTTCTGCCTCTGAGTGCTGCAACATTTCCTCCTGCTCGAGGGGTCATCTTGCAAAAGGAAGTCTGTTCTGCTGACGATTTTCTCCCCCTGCCCCTTCCGCATGGGGAGAAAACTTTGCTGAGAATCCCAATTAGACCCTCAGGATCCCAGGATTCAGCCCGTTCAGTGGGAACAACAGCTCCCAAGGCTGGGCTGGGCCCTGCTGCAAGCACCTCCACCCCCACGTCCCACCTGCGGCCTCCTCACAGGCCAAGCCCATAGCCAACGCCCAATGCCCCTGTCCTTCCTTCACAGTCTCCTACAGCCAACTCACCTTCCAGAACCAGATCAAGTTTACCTTCTCCAGGAGCCTCTGTTTTTTCAGTTTTGGGTTTTGTTTTGTTTTGTTTTTTGAGACAGAGTCTCACTCTGTTGCCCAGGCTGGAGTGCAGTGGCACGATCTTGGCTAACTGCACCCTCTGTCTCCCGAGTTCAAGCAATTCTCCTGCCTCAGCTTCCTGAGTAGCTGGGACTACAGGTGCGTGCCACCACGCCCGTCTAATTTTTGCATTTTTAGTAGAGACAGGGCTTCACCATGTTGTCCAGGCTGATCTCAAACTCCTGATCTCAAGTGATCCACCCATCTTGGCCTCCCAAAGTGCTGGGATTACAGGCGTGAGCCACCGTACCCAGCCCCAGAGCCTCTGCCAATGACTCAATTATACAAAATCATTTGCCTCTGAGCCTTCATAACACTTATTATCTGCTCTATGCATGTGGCATCTGCAAAATACTGTCTTTGTGCAGTGGAAAGAGGATAGAACTTAAAAGCCTGAGTGTCGAACATCCATTCTACCCTTTGCTGGCCCTGTCACTTGGAGGCACTACGTGCACTGACATTGCCTCATCTTCGCAGTGGGGATGACGGCACATGCACTCCCTTCCCAGAGGCGTGAGGGTTACAGGAGACCCTGGTGTCAGTCTCTCCCCTCACTAGCCACTAGAGATCCTGACAGTGAAGCCTGGTACTAATCCTCAAGAAGCCCACAGCCTGGTCAAAAAGAGAAGCATACCAGAACAAACACGAAGCAAAACCTTATGCCACAAGCTAGTAGATAATCACAAGCACACACACTAATGGGACACGAGCCCCATAAAGGCAGAGATGGCTCCAAGGCCTGGAGGCTTGAGGAATGCAGGACGTGAGCTGGAAGGATGGGTGGAATTTCAATAAATGGGCAGGGAGCATTCTAAATAGGGGAGTGATGGAGACAAAAACACAAACAGGAAATTGAGCGACATGTTCAGGAAAGACAGAGCATAGCCGCTGGGCAGCCAGGTCAACTGGCGGCAAGGCAGGAGTTGGCCAGGGAAGCACCGCGCCGCCCCTGCACACCCTGCATCCTCGGGTCCTGGGAGGGCTGCTCAGTAACTGGAAGGAAAATGAAACTGAAAAAGAGCAAGGGTCCCGTAGGGCCGTCAGCCCCAAGTCTCCGCTCGGCAAAACCGCTCCCTCCTGGTGGACGCCCTCACCGTGAAGGTCAGTGCTTCTCTTTCCAAAGCTGTGTCTTCATTCCTCTGGGCAGAGAGCCAAGAGTCCTAGTTACAGAAGTGTGTAACTGGGTGCCATGGCTCACCTGTAGTCCCAGCTACTCAGGAGTCTGAGGTGGGAGGATCGCTTGAGCCCAGGAGCGTGAGGCTGCAGTGAGCAGTGATTGCGTGACTGCACTCCAGCCTGGGCGACAGACTGGGATTCTTGTCTCCAAAATAATTTTAAAATGGGGTGTAATCTTCTTGGAGTCAATGCCACCCAGAGGGTACTCAAATTGCTGCCAGCCTTCCTGGGCTGCAGGGGCTGCGGGTATTTTCCAAGTGTTCCGGGAAGGCTTGGTGGCTCCAGAGGCGCCTGAGGGGCCAGCACAGGTGGGGAGCGGAGAAGGAACTCTGGGTGCCCATCCCCGTCCTGAGTGATCACAGCAGCTGCATTTGTTAACTGAAAGTAAAATTAGGCCTAAAGAATTCTATGGCTAAGAACATCTGAAAGCCTTCCATACTATTAAATATTTATTTTATTGTTCATCCTGGACTCCATAGGCAGATGCTTTAAAAAAAGAAAAGAAAAAAGTGATCTTTTGGAAGAATTCTAACTCCAACTCTTCACATAGCTATGGGTTTGAGATTGAACTTGAGTTTTCATCCAAGCTCTGCTCTGTGATACTGAGCACAGAGGGCCCAGCCCAGTGACTCTTCAGAGCCTGTTTCTTCATCTGCACAAGGCAGCTGTCATCTGCCTCCCAGGTTTGCTGTGGGGACTGAAGGAATTCACATACACAAAGATCCGATAGCATCTACCTTCAGGAGGCTCCTAATAAACATTGACTTCACTTCCTAAATGAGATCTATTTACTTACAGGGTAATCAGCACCTGCCCCTTCCTTCTCGAATACATTCCCACTTTTTTAGGATTTATTCTTTCATCCAGCCGTATGCATCATGGAAAGCTGACCTCATCCCAAGCTCCAGGACATAAAACCCTGATGATTTGAAGCCATTCTTCCTTACGATGATTGGCTTAGGAGTGGGCAGGTCGCCCAGTTCTGACCAACAATATGTGAGTCAGCTGGAGAAGCCTGTGGGAAAGGCTTTCTTGCTCCCGTTCCCAGACAAAACCAGGTCCAGCTGCTTGTTCTTATGGTCCAACAACAAGCTGCAGACAGAGTGGGGAAGAAGGCAGTTGATTTCTGTAGCCCGTTACAGGGAGAAGGTCAGAGTAACTCACCATACTAATTTAAAGTTGTAAGTTTTTTTTTTTCAGTGCTTATATACATTTAAACCATATACCTTTGTGCAGGAGTACACCTCCAAGCTGAGGTATATTCCTCTGTTTAATCTGTCACTAGGGTCTGGGGTCTGGAAAATTACTTCAGAGCCTTGGAACGATTACTTCCTTTTTTTCTTACTTGTTTTAGAGACAGGGTCTCACTATGTTGCCCAGGCTGGTCTTTGAACTCCTGGACTCAAGCAATCCTCCCTCAGCCTCCCAAAGTGCTGGGATTGTGGCCGTGAGTCGCTGCTCCTGGCCCAATTACTTCATTTAAAGTGGATCCTGGTACAAGGTGTACAAGAACGCCTCCATTATTTTAATTAAACTCTAAGGTTTGGGAGAAAGCCCAGGCGGGGTCTTAATGGACTTGTTTTTACACTCTAGCCTTTGTCCTAAGGCGCCAGTTTCTCCAATTTTCCATGTTTAACTTGTATATTCCTCAGAGTTATAATAAGGTCTTCCTTCCAAGGGCTGCAGGTGGCTGGCCAGGAGAAGCCTGCCCAGCGACACTGCCCAGCGACGCTGAGGCACCAAACATGAGCAGAGGAGGAAGGAACGCCTGGGAGCAGCTGAGCTGAGCCCCTGCCACCAGCCTCCTCCGCACGCCCGCGGAATCAGCACTTTCTGCTTCCCGCCCCGCCCCTGAGAGTCTTGCTCTGGGGCCACTCACAGCCAATTAAGTGGGGTTGTTGTAAGAGAGTCTAAAATACATGGAGCTGGCCGAGGACGTGGGGCCGACCCCATTGTGTGTGTGTGAGGCCATGATTAAAGTGTTACCTGTCACCAGGTGTCGCCAATTCATGGGGAAGCTCTCTCCATGTGACCTCCAGGCTACTTACTTTTTATTTTATTGTTCATCCTGGACTCCAAAGGCTGATGCTATTTTTTTTTTAATGTGATCCTTTGGAAGAGTTTTAACTACAACTCTTCACTAGTGGTAGTGGAAATACCATGGGTATTAAAAACTAAAGCATTTCCTAATCTGTGGGGTCCAGATTAGGAAGACATGTATTAGGAAAATGATTACTTAAAAAACAAAAAAAAATTCAGGCAGGGCACAATGGCTCACGCCTGTAATCCCAGCACTTTGGGAGGTTGAGGCAGGTGGATCACCTGAGGTCAGGAGTTCAAGACCAGCCTGGCCAACATGGTGAAACCTCATCTCTACCAAAAATACAAAAATTAGCCGGGTGTGGGGGCACATGGTTGTAATTCCAGCTACTTGGGAGGCTGAGACAGGAGAATTGCTTGAACCCAGGAGGCGGAGGTTGCAGTGAGCGGAGATCTCGCCACTGCACTGCAGGCTGGGTGACAGAGTGAGGCTCCATCTCAAAAAAAAAAAAAAAAAAATCAATCAGAACCACTGAATTGTACATTTAAAAAAGGAAGAAGAGAAAAATTCAGGATGTCAGCACTGTGCTGGCCGCTTTCTGGGGCCCTCAGTGAGTTCCTTTAAAAGACGGGCGTAGGGTGACAGAGGCCAGCCTGGAAGTGGACAGGAAACCCCAGCCTTTCCGCTGTGGTCCAACTTGGACTGACGCCCTCATGGCAGCCAGAGAGCCCTGCAGGGTTGAGGCAGGAGTGTGGCCGGGGTGAGTCTTCATTGTAAGACTGCAGGTCCCTCTACATGAGAGCGAGTTGGGCCGGGGCAGAGGCACATAGCAACATACACAACTGGTCCAGGAGGCAGAACGGTGGAGGGTCGCGGGCGGGTGGGTGGTGCGTTCTGAAGGTTGCGTGAAGAGAGCTTCCCAGTGAACTGGCATGAAGAAAAGTATCAGCCGGATGATGGTGCCGTTTCCGGAGGCGGGGAAGGGTGCATGGAGGAGCCAGCAGAGCTCGGAAGGAAGTCAGGGCCTGTGTCTGGGACATGGCAGGGCTGAGATGTCACAAAGACAGCAAATGGAGTGATCGATTGGCGACCTTGGCGTTTGAGCGGGAAGCCCCCGTCCCTCCATCTAACCTACCTCTCAGGCCAGGCCGCTAGGGATAAAACACACACAGGTCCCCGGTAAGGAGGAACACAGGGGACGGCACCCCCTGGGCCCTCTTGGAGAACCTGTCCTTAAGTAGGCTGGGCAGAGGCAGAGCCCCTGCTGGCTAAGGGATCCCTGCCCCCACACCAACCCAGCTGTGCAGAGGTGCCTTGGTGAGGGGTGTGTGTAGCACCATCTTCATGTTTGGGCAAGGAGCTGGAGGAACCCTGCCTGCCTCGGTTCAGACGTCTCTACCGCTCCCACTCACTGCAAATCTAGAGTGATCAGCTTCCAGGCTCTCAGTGTACCCCACATTGCTAAAGTCAGGGGTTCAGGGTGACTAGGAAGGACTGAAGGGCTGGGGTCAGACGTGAAGATACATGTTAAATTGCTAATAGTCTGATTCTAGAGGTATCAAAGTCCCTTTGTGATCCAGTGAGTTGCTCCCAGACCCAGACCAGACACCACTGCAGGAAGGAAGCTGGGCAGGCAGCGTGACGGTAACCAGCTTCCCAGGCAGGAAGGTCCCATAGGGTTGCTGCACTGCCTTAGGTTGATTAAGCTGTGTCTGAGTCCACCATGTGACGTCTCTGCTCTCAAGCCTGGGCTGCTAAAGGAAAAACACCAACTAAAAGGATGGTGTTTGATTTCAACTGAGAGGGTGCTGCCCAGCACATCTGTGTTTTCCATCACTTTCCACTCCATTACCTTCTATGTCCATCCCAAATGCTCGACCCAGCACTTTGGGAAACTGAGGCAGGAGGGCAGCTTGACCCTAGGAGTTTCAGACCAGCCTGGGCAACAGAGCGAGATCTTATCTCTACAAAAAATCAGCAAAAATTAGCCGGGCATGGTGGCATGCACCTGTAGTCCCAGCTACTTGAGGGACTGAGGTGGGAGGGTCACCTGGGCCTGGAGGTCAAGGCTGCAGTGAACTGTCATTGCACCACTGCACTCCAGCCTGAGTGACAGAGTAAGACCCTGTCTCAAAAAAACAAAATTATTGGGTGAGAGTAACCTAAACTTGTTCCCTTACCACTTACAATGTACCCCTTTCTCCTTCATCTCTCCCGTCCCAATCCTCTCACCTGGCTTCCATCTCTCCTTTCTGAATTTGCTTCCTCTCAACACATAACCCTGCACAAACCTCTCTCGTTTTAAAAGCAAAAACCCCTCCCTAAGTCCACATCATCCCCTACCCACTTCTTGCCTCTGGCCAGCCTTGCTTCCTGAGTGAGAACTAGTCTACGCAGTGTCCGTATCTTCCCCTCCCACTGGTATTTTACAGTTCTATCACACAGACACATTGTTTAGAGCCAATAGTCATGTAAGACACCTACCAAAAAGCCCCTCCACCTGCCCATTCCCTCTCCCAAAAGGAAACATTTAGAAATCTTTCTGCTGAGTGTCTCAGTGCGTGTTGTCTCTCTGAGATGTCTCTAAATGATGGGCTTGCGTGGGCTTCTGCTTCCATGGTTGAGTTTCAGGCGCTGTAACTGACTTCCTGCCACTGAGGCTGAGATTCGGCTCGTTCACGCCACATGTGCACACAGCTCCTACCTGCAGTGCATGCTCACCCTTATGAAGGCCACAAAAGCAGGCACACTCCACTGAGTTGGCGAGGTCGGGGGTCAACTACAGTTCTCTCCTATACAACTTGTTGCCTTCCAGAGGCCTAATCACTGCCTTTTCCCCCCAGGCTATGTCCGCACTCTGTCACCCAGGCTGGAGGTCAGTGGTGCAATCATGGCTCACAGCAGCCTCAACCTCCCAGGCTCAAGCCATCCTCCCACCCCAGTGTCCCAAGGAGCTGGGAACAAGGCATGTGCCACCACGCCTAATTTTTTTTTATTTTTTGTAGAGATGAGGACTGCCTATGAGGCCCAGGCTGGTCTTGAACAATCCTCCCCTCTCAGCTTCCCAAAGTGCTGTGATTACAAGTGTGAGCCACCACGCCTGGCCAATGTGGGCCTATTTTCACCCATTATCCTGGGCATTTAATGAGTCATTTCAATCCAGAAACCCTTACCATCAGTTTCAGGTAATTTTCATAATTTAAAAAAATGTTTCGGCCAGGCGCGCTGGCTCATGCCTGTAATCCCAGCACTTTGGGAGGCCAAGGCAGGCAGATCACAAGGTTGGAAAATTGAGACCATCCTAGCCAACACAGTGAAACTTCATCTCTACTAAAAATGCAAAAAATTAGCCAGGTGTGGTGGCATGCCTGTCGTCCCAGCTTTTCAAGATGCTGAGGCATGAGAATCGCTTGAACCTGGGAGGTGGAGGCTGCAGTGAGCCAAGATCACGCCACTGCACTCCAGCCTGGGCGGCAGAGAGAGATGCCATCTAAAAAAAATTTTTAAATTGACTCTGTTGTCCATTGTCCATTTTCTTTTCCTGCAATTCCCATTTACAGATGCTCAGCTTCTTAAACTGGTTCCCTAGTTTTGTTTTTGTTTTTTAGAGACAGGCTCTCGCTGTCACCGAGGCTGGAGTGCGGTGGCACAATCTCAGCTCACTGCAACCTCCACCTCCCGGGCTCAAGCCATTCTCCAGCCTCCGCCTCCCGAGCAGCTGGGATCACAGTCGCGCGCCACTACACCCAGCTCATTTTTTGTAGATGGGTTTTGCCATGTTGGCCAGGCTGGTCTTGAACTCCCAAGTTCAAAGCGATTCACCTACCTCAGCCTTCCAAAGTGCTGGGATGACAGGCGTGAGCCACCACGTCCAGCCTCTAACTACTTCTCAATCTTTGTTTTTGTTCTACTTTCTAGATTCTCAGCTTATTCTTGTAACAGTTCTACTGGCTTTCTTTCATATTTTTTTCTCCAAATTTTTTTTTTTTTTTTTGAGATGAAGTCTTACTGTGCGTCCCTGGTTCAAGCGATTCTCCTGCCTCAGCCTCCTGAGTAGCTGGGATTACAGGCGCCCACCACCACACCCGGCTAGTTTGTGTATTTTTAGTAGAGACAGGGTTTCACCACGTTGGCCCAGGCTGGTCTCGAAATCCTGATCTCAGACGATCCACCCACCTCGGCCTCCCAAAGTGCTGGGATTTCAGGCGCGAGCCACTGCGCCCGGCCCCAAATATTCTTTTATACGTATCTATCCTCCTACTCCATGGAATGCACTACCTCCTCTCATTCTCAGAATGTGTTAAAGATATTTAGATGTTTTCTTCTCCCTGTATAGACAGTTTGCTCCAAGTTGATTCTTCGGTTTTGACCTCTAGCCTTCATCTTAGGGGCCAGGTCCTCTTCAGATGTTTGATGATCCCCAGGATGGCTGCTACCTCCTTCTTGTTGTCTTTGCCCTTAAGGGTTAAAACACACACACACAAACCTTTTACTGCCCTTATAGTATGGTTTCAGAAAGAAACCATAAATGAACACACACATCTTAGCCCTCAAATTTTTCACTCACATTTTAGGCCACAGTGGTCGGCTTCTCCCCTCACTGAAACTGATCAGCTAATGTCAACTGACCTTGACAGTGCCGGTTAAACACCTGCCCACCCTTGTTTATTTGGTCTCTACTGCACTGGATGCTGAAGATCCCCTTTTCCTGGACTCCCCCTCTCCAGAGCTCAGTGGTGCTCCACCATGAGGCTCCTCTGGATCAGCTGTCGCTCTTCTTAAATCCTCTTCCTCTCTTCACCCCAAGCCTCGTGTGTGCCGGCTTTGCTTCTCAGACCTCTGCTCTTCTCATTCTCTATCCTCTCCCGGATTAACTCGGCGAAACCCTTCAAACTGCACCACCACCCACACACCGACAACTCTGAAGTCCCCAGGTCCAGCCAGGCCCTTTGCTGCAGGACAGATGTGTTCACCCAACAGCCTCGTGGATGGTTCCACTCAACATGCTGAAAAACAAACTCATCACTGCGTTTACACAAACCTGCTTTAGTTTCCATTTTCCCTGTCTCAATGAAGACGACCTCTACCACAGAGTGTCCCTGTCATGATCCCAGTACTCCAGAAATCCGACCGATTCTACCTTCTAAACATCGAGAGCAGAAGTTTCCAAACTTAGCATGCATGAGCACCACTTGTCAGGCTTGTTAGGTACCAACAGCTGGGCCTCAACCCTGAAGTTTCTGATCCTGCAGGCCTGATGTGGGGACTGGACATTTTTATTTCTAACAAGTTCCCAGGCGATATTGCCACTGCTTACTGGAACCACACTTTGAGAACCACCAATCCTCACATCCGTTCCCTCCTCACCAGGCCCCACAGGTGCTGTGGTCCAGCCCATCTGGAGTCATTTCTTGCTGAGATTATGATCCTGTTAGCCTTGTAATTTATCTGACCTCCTTAAAACATTATTATTAATTATTATTATTATTATATTATTTTGAGACAGGGTCTCGCTCTGTCACCCAGGCTGGAGTACAGTGAACTGTAAGGTGACCACGGCTCGCAGCCTCAACTTTGAGCTCCAGCAGTCCTCCTGCCTTGGCTGGATTCAGGGCTGGGGCTACAGGCGTGAGCCACTGCTCCCGGCCAAAGTCTCAATTTTGATGCCCCAATTCCCACCCAAGACGTCACGTCTCGTACTCTGCTTCCTGTGTCATGTGAACGGTGACAGTGCTGTAGGAAACAGTAAACGGGAAAAAGGGCAGGCTCAGAACAACAGTGCTGACGCAGTCATCACACAGCGGTGTGCCAGTGCTATGATGCCTGTTTAATTGAAACCTTGTAATAAAAGTTTAAATACATAAAATGTTTTTGTTTTTTTTTTTTATCAAAAGAACATCCCCCACTTCCCCGACCAGATACGTCTGGGGCGGAGGCAAGTGGAGACTGGCTGTCTGTAGGGAGTGGAGAAATGGCAGGTCCAGCTTGGGCTGGTGTCCTCTTCCTCAGAAAGTGCTGTGGGTGAACCCAGAGTCTCAGGGAGCGGGAGCCCCCTCGCTGGCTTTCTTCACGCGGGGTCCTCGGCAAGCTGCTCTGCACTGCGGAGAACGTGCGCCTTGGCCTCAGAAGACGAGGAAGAGCAGAGCCTCGTGCCGGGGCAGCACGATGTTCTCCACGGTGCGCTCCATGGCGCGCACCTGCTCCGGGGAGGCCGTCAGGAACGCCAGGGGCCCGATGCGCTGCTCCGCGCAGGAGTGGCAGAGGTAGCCCCCCTTGTTTTCCTTCCTGTTGCTCTGTGGTGATGGACAAGAAAGAGAGCTAAGGAGAACCACCAAAGAACATGGATTTTCCAGCAAAAAGCATGGAGTTACCATCACAGCTGCCCAGGGACAACGTATTTGAATTACAGTTACATCTGCCCATCACAGCTGCCCAGGGACAACGCATTTGAATTACAGTTACATCTGCCCATCACAGCTGCCCAGGGACAACGCATTTGAATTCTGATGTTTTCAAAGGGGTGCACACCCTCAGAATAACACCTCCCACAGCACCACCATCTAGGTGGCCTCAACACCCCCAAATTCCCTGAGTGCAGAAACAGCCATTTATCCAGTTGAGATAAACAACCAAGAAAAGCTGTGTTGGGACCCCAGGGAACAGCTCTCCCTCTAAGCGTGTGTCACAACCCAGCCTCCCAGACCTATGGCTTCAGCACGGCCAGGCAGCATCACGTGCCCTGACCTCTGACCCCGGGGCCGACCGCACACTTCTCGTGCCTCTCGTATGAAAAGCCCCTAATAAAGGATCACACAGCTCTCTCTTATCTCCCCACCTACAACCCAGAGAAGCATAAAGCTCACTAGCAAAACACGCAAATGGCTGAATTAAGTTCCACAGACAGCAGACATACATAGGTGATGGGCAGCTTCTTCATGGTGAGGACGGTGTCGACAGGGATGGCATTGCTGCACTGTCCCACGCAGCAGCGCACCACGCCTGTTTTTAAGACGCTGCTTGTCAGCTCTGCTTGCAAGAAGTACTCCTGAGAAGGAAAGAGTGAGAAAGAGAATCACGGCGATACCTCCGCTAGGGTCTGCTGGGAACACAGTGAGAACCCTTTAGATGCGCTCTAAGTCCCAGAAAGAGAAAAACGCCGACTGCCCTGTTCTCCCTTAGTTTCTCTAACTTTTCTCTGCCTCCAAAGCTACCGACAGTCCAACTGACAGTCTGATTGCTTTTTAAATATATATATATATTTAACGGATAAACATGCAAAACTATTGCCTCTAATGACATTTCCAGAATATTTCTGGATTTTATTTTATGCTAAGGCATCCCCAGCTCAATCTTTAGAAAATTATTTGTATATTCACATTACAACCCAGGTAGGCAACACAGAGGACCTGAAGAAAACTTGCCCCAAACATCCCTGTACATTTCCACCGTCCCGTGTACTGGCTGTGCTAGTGAGCAAATGATACCCTCGCTAAGCCTGTCTTTATCCATAAATGCAGATGGCACGGTGCCAGCTAAAGGTGGCTGCTAAGGAGAAGACACCCCTCAATTCATGCAAGGCACTCATGCCTGGCAGGAAAGGAGCACCCAGAGGAAGCGCTAGTGACCTCCCGGGCTGGAAACACCACAAGGACAGGGCACTGTCAGCTTCGCTGCTGCCCCGTGGGGCTCCACGTCACCGGCTGATCCGCTAGCAGGACCGCACACACCTGCTGCCCAGCAAAGGACAGTTTCGTATTTTCTGGATTACGACCAGCTATTGATCTAATTATTCTACAATCTGTGTCCTACATTTTGATTTCTTTGGTCTTTACTCTTAGAGGGCCTGCCTACTAGGTATGAAAAAGAACCGAAAACCACCATGCAAACAATCAAGTTATGGCCAACAAGTACTAACAGCTGACGAAGTGAAATCATGTCTGAAGTCACAGATTTTGCGGAAGTCCCTTCGACTGTCATCTCCATTTCCTTCCCCAGGGACAGCCAGGACCATGAACCTGGCGAGGTGCCTCCAACCCACTGTGAAATAGCTTCTTGTTTACACACGTGTCCAAGGACACAGGTCTCCTTTTACAGGTGTCTATTTACATGAATGTTCCACTTCTGGCTTCCTCCTCACCTAGTTGTTCTAAAATGCTGTAGGGGACTCAGTCACAGCACTCTCTTGTATTTTATTTACCCATTCCCTTGCTGTGGTTACTCGGTTGTTTCCAAACTACTTCCAACAATGCAACAATGAACATCCTTGTACCTGACTCCCTGTCCACTCCAGAAGTTTCTCCAGGGCTGGGCTCTCAAACCGTTTTTGATGCAGTTACCATTATAATGCTATACACATATAATGCTATTCCACACATATGGAAGAAAAGTTTCACAAAACATGATTTAACCTAACATGCAGTGTTCTCTGATTTCTTTAGATTTTATGCCATTTCACTCTTTTTAAGCCTCTCATAACCCACTAGATTAACTGTTTTTATTTATATAAATTTAAGGGGTAGGGGTCACACCTGTAGTCCCAGCACTTTCGGAGACTGAGGTGGGAGGATCGCTTGAGCCCAGGAGTTCGAGATCAGCCTGGGCAATACGGCAAAACCCTGTCTCTACCAAAAATACAAAAATTAGCCAGGCATAGTGGTGCACACCTGTAGTCTCAGCTTCTGGGGAGGCTGAGGTTACAGTGAGCTGAGACTGTGCCACCGCACTCCAGCCTGGGCAACAGAGCAAGACCCTATATCTAAACAAACAAACAAAAAGAATCTAAGATTCTGTGAGACCAAGAAGCTGTCTTTGGCCAGATGTAGTGGCTCAAGCCTGTAATCTCAGCACTTTGGGAGGCCGAGGCGAACTGATCACTTGAGGTCAGAAGTTTGAGACCAGCCTGGTCAATATGGGTGAAACCCCATCTCTACTAAAAATACAAAAATTAGCCAGGCATGGTAGTGCACGCCTGTAATCCCAGCTACTCTGAGGCTGAGGCCTGAGAATCATTTGAGCCCGGGAGGCGGTGAGCCGAGCAAGATGGCACCATTGCACTCTAGCCTGGGCTACAGAGGGAGACTCCGTCACAGAAAAAAAAAAAGCTGTCTTTGAAACATAACTTCATGTCACTTAACACCTCAACAATGTAATAATTTCCTTCACTTTCCCAAAACTTAAAGAAACAAATGAACAAAACGGCTTCTGGTGATTCTATTAGCTGTATTTTCTAAGGGGAGGGGTCAGAGAAAAAGAAGGTTGCCCTGTTCTTGGGAGATGAAGAGACAGCATTCTAGGCAGCACAGGAAGCAATGGCTCGCTTTTTATCTCCAAAACACCCCCACCCACGGCTTCACTATTTTCAACACACTTTCCTAGCCCCTGAACTACTGCCCAACTCGGGATCTTCATTATCCCCATGGCCTTCCCTCCTGGACAGACTGAATTCAACACTTCTAAAACAGAATATCCCCAAATTTATTCACAGGCTGTGATCAACAACAACAAAAAAGGCCGGACATGGTGGCTTACGCCAGTAATCCCATGGGAGGCTGAGGCAGGTGGATCACTTTAAGTCAGGAGTTCGAGACCAGCCTGGCCAACATGGTGAAACTTCGTCTCTACCAAAAAAAAAAAAAAAAAAACCAAAAAAAAAATTAGGCAGGTATGGTGGTGCACACCTGTACTACCAGTTACTGGGGAGGCTGAGACAGGAGAACCACTTGAACCCCAGGAAGCAGAGGTTGCAGTGAGCCAAGATCATACCACTGCCCTCCAGCCTGGGCGACACAGTGAGACTCTTGTTTTTTTTGTTGTTGTTGGTTTGCTTGTTTTTTAAAAAGCAGAGTGCATCCACCTCTCACAAGGTCTTAAAGCCTTAAAAAATCTGTTCCCATAAATAAACAGTTTTTCTGCGACTTCCTTGCAGGACGCCTGAAGCCAGACAGCCCAGCCCAGTCTCAGTAACCCGGAAGTATTTCTCTAGATTCTGTATTCTTTTCTTCTCTGGGGAAAACAAAATGTACGCAGCAACCAACTGACAACCTTCCAATTAGCTTTAAAAAGTCTACTTCGCTTTTTGTTTTTGTTTTTTGAGACAGAGTCTCGCTTTGTTGCCCAGACTGAAGTGCAGTGGCACGATCTCAGCCTACTGCAACCTCTGCCTCCCGGTTCAAGTGATTCTCCCGCCTCACCCTCCTGAGTAGCTGGGATTACAGGCATACGCCACTACGCCTAGCTAATTTTTGTATTTTTAGTAGAGACAGGGTTTCACCATGTTGGTCAGGCTGGTCTTGAACTCCTGACATCAAGTGATCCGCCCTACTAAGCATCCCAAAGTGCTGGGATTACAGGTGTGAGCTACTGCACTGGGCCTATTTCACTCTTATGCATACAACTGGTGGAACTCTAAAGTGGTAACAATCTCCATGAAGAAATTGGCCATATCTAGAAAAGTCACACTTGGCCAGGTGCAGTGGCTCATCCCTGTAATCCTAGCACTTTGGGAGGCCGAGGCAGGGCGGATCACTTGAGCTCATGAGTTCAAGAAGAGCCTAGGCAACAGGCAAAACCCCGTCTCTACAAAAAAATACAGAATTAGCCAGGTGTGGTGACACATGCCTGTAGTCCCAGCTGCTCGGGAGGCTGAGGTGGGAGGATGGCTTGAGCCTGGGAGGCGGAGGTTGCAGTGAGCCAAGATTGTGCCGCCATTCTCCAGCCTGGGTGACAGAGCCAGACCTTGTCTCAAAAACAAAACAAAACAAAAACAAAACAACAACTGAAAAGTCACACTTGCATTTATCTTTATCCAGCAATTCCACTTCTAGAAATGCATGCTGAAGATGCACTGGCAAAAACATAAATGACCTGTGCATAAGATTGTGCAATGCGGCATTATTAATGAAAGCAAAAGGCTGGAAGTGACCATGTCCATGAGCGAGGATGGCATAAATCACGGTGCATCAACACAGAACACTACGCAGCTGATGAAAGGGCGAGAGAGCTCTGTGAGCTGATAAAGAGGGATTTCTTCATTTGGGTAGGACAATAAATAAAAGAATAAAAGGCCAAAAAATAAAAGAGTAAAAAATAAATAAAAGAGTGATTCCCATGAGTGCTTCTAAGTGACAAAGCAAAGTACACAACAGTGTATCTGAAATGCTACCTTTTGTGGAAAAGGAGAATACGAAAATACCTACGAATTTGCTAATACTTGCATAAAGAAACACTGAAGGATTAATCGCTAATTGTTGAAAATAACTACCAATGGTGGAGGCAGAGAACAGTCTGAAGTGAAGAGGGGGTAATGAGACTTCTCTCAGCACAAAGTTTTGACTTTGTTTTGTTTTGTTTTTTGTTTTTGTTTTTTGATACAGGGTCTCACTCTGTAACCCAGGCTGGAGTGCAGTGGCGCAATCTCAGCTCGCTGCAATCTCTGCCTCCTGGGTTCAAGCAATTCTCCCACCTCAGCCTCCCAAGTAGCTGGGGCTACAGGTGTGCACCACCACGACTAGCTAATTTTTCTGTATTTTTTGGTAGAGACAGGGTTTCGCCATGTTGGCCAGGCTGATCTCTAACTCCTGACTTCAAGTGATCTGCCTGCCTCAGCCCTGCAAAGTGCTGGGATTACAGGAGTGAGCCACCATGCTCAGGCACAAGGTTTTGACTTTGAAAACATTAACAGGCCTTACACATCAAAAAAGACCACTAAATCAAAAAGAAGCAAAGCAATCTCTGTAGATATTATAAATAAAATACATTTCTAACTGCAAATTAAGTTGGTAATAAAACCACAAAAGCAAAAAGGACTTACTTTAAGTAGCTTCAGAACATGATAAATAAATCATTAATGGAGAAATGGAGCTGTTAGGAAATCTTCAAGTCCAGTCAGTATTCCATTAATACCGGCATTATTTTGAAGATTATTTTTAAATACATGGAATAGTATCAATAAGTAATTAATAAATACTGTTATGAACCAAGATTTCAGTGTATGAGAAAAGATTCAAGTGTAAGAAAAGTAAAATTCCTTTTGTGTTAAATGTGAACTAGATTATGGAACACAATTCATGAGGGCTGAACGTGTGAAGGGCTAAAGCCTCTGATAATGCAGATACAGTGCAGTTTTTGAAACCCAGGAGAATGAAGAGAACATGTGTAAAAAGTATCATTTTTCAGCACTTACTGATGGCAGTGCATACCTGGTTAAAAAATAAATAACAAAGGCGCAGCTGTGCAACAAAGCAAGGTAGTGCCTATCTGTTGAGATGGCAGTTACCCTCAGAAAGCGGGGGCGGTGGGGGGGGTGCTACGATGGCCAGGGGCCACCAGGACAGCTCTGTGATGGCTAGCAGATCCCATCTTCTCATCTGGTGGATGCTCGCAACATCATCATTTTAAACTGCATTATGCTGTTTTTTATATTTGTGTTATATTTAACAACAAAATATTGAAATTTGCCTGGTGTCACACCTGTAATCCCAGAACTTTGGGAGGCTGAGGCGGGAGGATCACTTAAGCCCAGGAGTTCAAGACCAGCCTGGGCAACATAGTGAGACACTGTCTCTACAAAACAAAAGAACAAACAAACAAACAAACACCAGCCAGGTGTGATGGTGCACGTCTGTGTTCCCAGCTACTTGGGAGGCTGAGGTGGGAGGACTGAGCCTAAGCCCAGGAGGTTGAGGCTGTAGTGAGCCATGATCGTGCCACTGCACTAAAGCCTGGGCAACAGAGTGAGGCCCTGTCTCTTTCAAACAAAGTTTAAAAACTGGGATTGGAATTATCAGTATGAATCACTGGTTTTTTTTCTTTCTTTTCAAAAAGACACATTTCCTAGCTGTGCCTCTTCAAAAGATGAGCAATCAGCATCACTAACAGTGAAAAACCAACCCGCTCCCGGGAGCCTCCTTATGTGGCAAAGCACACAGCCCGCTCCGGCCTGTGGAGGTAAGCCTGCCAGAGACGCAGGCTTGAATCTAATCAAGCCTCTACAGCTAACTTCCAGTTACTGGAAAGCCAGGACAGGCAATGGCAGAACAAGTTACACAACCACGCCAGGAAGCAAACTAAGAATGGGAACGCTCTATAGATGAATGAGCCAGTTTCTGCAATGAGACAAGAGCATGGGAGAAGTGGGGAGGGAGTCCTGCACAGCTCTCTATTAAGTAACTTAAGAGACAAGCAATCAAATGTTGGTTTGGACTCTGACTTGAACAAATCAACTGTAAAAAAGCATTTCTGAGACAATCATAAAAGCCTAAGTATGGATTGGGTAGTAGAGGCCACATATTGTAATATAAAATATGAAAATGGCACGGTAGTTATGGAAAAAAAAAGTACCTATTTCTTGGAGATGTGTACATATAGGTATATGTACATGAGTATTTGTATATGAGTGTTCAGTGTGTTGCTTTCTTTACTTTTTAATGTCTTAAAATTTTCATAAGCAAAAATGAAAAGTCCCGTGTAGCCCATGTTTGTGAGATGGTATCACTGCTCGGTAATACCCCGCACACTTCTACCAATTGACAACATGGTTTTGTTACAGGCCTGACCACTTCTGTAACACGACTTCCATGAGAAAACCATACTAGAGGGTCTAAAAAAGCACTTATAAATCAAAGTTTATGCAAAAATGTTTGTATAGGTAGAGTTCATTTGTACATAATGATTTATTATGCTTAACTCCTGGGGATACTGGTTTAGAGATTTTTTAAGGTCACACTTTTCTTTAAACCAGAGGTCAGCAAAGTACACATGGGCCACATCCAAACAATGCCCGTTTCTGTGAATCCATTTTATTGGAACACAGCCACACTTGTTCGCTAATGTACTGTCAACAGGGACTCTCGCATTACAGCAGCGGGGCTGGGTAGCTGCAACAGAGATCATGTGACTTACACAGCCTGAAATCTTTGCTGCCTGGCCCTTTGCAGAAAAGTCTACAGACGATCCATGTGCCAGTAAAGATGCAACCAAAGAAAAAGGGCTTCAGTTCTAAGCTCTGACACTTAAGCTGTTGCACTCAGTGAAGCCCAGGTAAAAAGTTGCTTTGGGAAAAATGCATCAGATTTCAAATTCTGGAAACATTCCTATGGCCAAGTCAGTCTACCTAACAGAGGCCTGGAGGAAAAATGACAAAGGAGACACAAAAAATGTGATAAATATGCAAGCTAATCAGTTTTATGCAAGAAGCTTCTGCCCTCTGATGAGTCATTGTAGAGTATTTATTTGCAAAGCTTCTCCCTTTTAAGTTTTGATATTATCTTCCTCAAAAATGTGAAGAGAAATCCTATTTGTTCACTTTCTTGTCCGTCTCCCCACCTGGATGGGCTCTATGAGGGCAGGAATTTCCCTGCCCACTGTTATGCCCCAGTACCCAGAAAGGTGCTTGGCAAGTGTTAGGCCCTCGATAAATATTCCATTATGAGCATCAGGGATCTACTACACTTAATACCTCTGAGAGTTGAATATCATTTACTCAAAAGTGGTGACCGCCCACCCTGCCTGCACCCTGTGGTTCAACCCCAGAGCACGTACGGCAGTACGGCATGGCTCACCCCATGACAGTAGGCAATATGGAACTGAGAATAAACCATCCTGCTACACACAATCTTTGTTTTGGAGACAGCTAAGCAAGAAAGAGTATTTATATTAACTTTTACACTTAAGTTTTAGGTTTCAGGCTTAAATATCTTGGGTTCAGGGAGAGATGGACTAAGTAGTAACTATTAGCTCAAATTTCTGTTCTAGTTTCTGACGGGTTGAAAAGACTAAATGGTTTATACTCCAGCTGTTTAGGCAGAAAAAGAGATAAAAATAAGTAGAGTGTGAGAAGGTGGTGTGTGGGAAGGGTAAAGAGTGAGTGCTGACCAGCTCACTTTTCCACATGTCTGTGACAAAGGCCAGGTACCTGAACACTTACTCTCCCCGGCAACGATGTGTTCTTCTGGAAAGTCTATTGGTAGCAGCAGCAGATGCCATTTCAAAACGGACTAAAGAGTGAGAGGGAGGAAGGCTGGGTGCACAAAACCTTCCTGGCATTTTTTCCCTATGAATATTGAGTATAGGGGCCAAGCAAGGTGGCTAACACCTGTAACTCCAGCACTTTGGGAGGCTGAGGAAGAAGGATCACGTTAGCCAGGAGTTCGAGATCAGCCTGGGCAATATAGCAAGAACCCATCTCTAGAAAAAAAATTAAAAACTAGTCAGGTGTGGTGGCATGCGCCTGTAGTCCCAGTGACTCAGGAGGCTGAGGTAAGATAATCACTTAAGCCCAGGAGTTTGACGAGGTTACAGTGAGTGATGACTGTGCCACTGCACTCCAGCCTGGGTGACACAGTGAGATCCTGTCTCAGACCAAAAAAAAAAAAAAAAAGAACTAATTGAGTAAGGGAGAAATTAAGAAATACATGACCACTGCCGGTATCTTTTTTTTGAGACAGAGTCTCGCTCTGTCGCCCAGGTTAGAATGCAGTGACGCCATCTTGGGTCCCTGCAACCTCTGCCTCCCAGGTTCAAGTGATTCTCCTGCCTCAGCCTCCCGAGTAGCTGGAATTACAAATGCACGCCACCACACCTGGCTAATTTTTGTATTTTTAGTAGAGAAGGGGTTTCACCATGTTGGCCAGGCTGGTCTCAAACCCCTGACCTCAAGTGATCCGCCCGCCTCAGCCTCTCAAAGTGCTGGGATTACAGGCGTGAACCACTGTGCCTGGCCCACTGCTGGTATCTTAAACAGAGTTTTTTAAACTGAATTAGGAAATGACTTAGAAAAGAACCACATTTTTGTTTCCTTGGTTAGAACACTTCTTATACTGGTCGTCGGCCTTTGCACATGCAAGCAGCGTTTCTCTTCCAACCCAGGATCCTGATCCGAAGGCCTCTGAAGGCTCCAGGTCAGCCCCTCATGCAGACTAAATAACATTCAATGGCATCAAGTTAGCTCATGCTGCCCGTTCCACTTACCCCAGCCAAAGTCAAAATGTTTTCCAATGATTTGGTCATGATGAGACGCTTCTTGGCTCGAGTTACTGCAACATACAGTAAATTCCATTCATCCTCAGAAAATGACTCTAAACAAAGTAAAGGGGAAAAAATTCAACTAAAAAGCCTTACAAAAGCTTACAAAACCTTATGTCTCATCTAAATGTTTACTAGCCCCCATCCATTCCCTGCAGAAAACCACTCAACATTTGTTGGCTGTAAATACAAAATTTTCCTACAAATGCCAGTTCCAAAAACAAACCAAATCCCAGCAGACTAGTGGCACAAAATACTGGGTTTTATTTAGTCCTGCTACGTAAATCCTGGGAATGTGTTAATTGGTTATTCGACACCCACAATGTGCCAGATGGCTGTTTACAGTCATTATGCCAGTTCTCACAAAAAACCCATGAGACAGCTGGGGAAACCGAGGCTTAGACAGGTTAAGTCACTCCTACAAACAAGACCTTGGCTAATCAAGGGCCTGGGAGCTGGACCGAGTCTGCTTGTCTCCTTCCATTTCTTTACACTGCCTCTGGACTACCAGACTCCCATTTGGAAATGCCTGACACTGTCACGGGACAACAAGGAAGACACACAGGTGTGCTGTGTGCTGTGTGTCTGTGCTGCCCAACCGCACATCTCATCTCCCATCTCGATTCACCACACAATGGCAGGAACTCAACAAAGAGCAGCAGATCCAACGGCGTGCAAAAAGCTGCGGAACTGTACACTTTGGATGGGGGGGTTGTGTGGCATGTAAATTACATGTTCCCCAAAAAATTACATTTGTAAACATGTAAACCAGAAGGGCGAAAAAGGTGGTACTATAGTAAACTTCTCCATGGCCGCCTCCCTTCCTCTCTCCACTCCAAATCATGTTCTATATTCGCCAGCAGTCACGAATGCTGTGGTTTCCATTTTCAGCATGCCAATGTGTGCTAGGCCCCAAATTTCCAACCTACAGTTAACAGACAGCTTTGTTTGTTTGTACATAAATTTCAAACAGTTTTATCCTAAGATTTAAAATCAAAGCAAAAGCACTGATGCTCAGAGTACAAATTTATTACAAAGCAGCCTTGAGTACAAATTTATTACAAAGCAGACAAGGCCAGGCACGGTGGCTCACACCTATAATCCCAGCACTTTGGGAGGCCGAGGCGGGTGGATCACCTGAGGTCAGGAGATCGAGACCAGCCTGGCCAACATGGCGAAACCCCGTCTCTACTAAAAAACAAAAATTAGCCGGGCATGGTGGCACGCGCCTGTAGTCCCAACTACTCTGAGGCAGGAGAATCGCTTGAACCCGGAAGGTGGACATTGCAGTGAGCCGAGATCGCACCACTGCGCTTCAGCCTGGGTGACAGAGTGAGACTCCATCTCAAAATAATAATAACAACAATAGCAACAACAACAACAAAGCAGACAAATGTCTGTGGTGGCTCACGCCTGCAATCCCAACACTTTGGGAGGCTGATGTGGGAGGATTGCTTGAGCCCAGGAGTTTGAGACCAGCCTGAGCAACATAGTGAGACCCCCGTCTGTACCAAAAAAACAAAAAACAAACAGACAAATGATACAGAATGCTTACTACTTCTCCTTTTGTGACTTTCTTATCTCTTTAATAAATGAAGAGGAATTAATTAAAGGAATTACTTGGTAAGCAAGTAAACTATACATTAAAGCTTTCATGAGGCTGGAGACTCAAAGCCTGATGGTGAAAAACCTGGAGCTGAGAGCAGCGTGGGGCTCACAGGTGGAGCTGAGAGCAGCGCGGGGCTCACAGGGCCACCACAAACATCATCACCCCACACGCAGCCCCCAGAGGGGTGCGCCTTGGGGAAGTTTTGTTTTTTAAAAAACCACAGTATAAGAATCAAAAGTTTAAGACTAGGAGGTGTTTTGTGGTTTTGTTTTTCCAGAAGTGCCCTACCAGGAGGCCACAGCATCCAACAAACAACAAGGCAGTGAAAAGGAACAATTCAGTCACCACTCACTACAACAGCACCTGACACTACCCGGCCACCTCTTACCAACTCTGAAGTGGGGAAGCTGGGGCAGGTTATGCCGGGCACAAGGCACTTTCACAAAATCATCCAAAACATGCACAGTGTCAAACTCCAGACCTTTGGCTTTGTGCACAGTGCCCAGAATGTACTCTAGGATAAAAACACAGCACACGTTAGACGGGGCTTCAAAGGCAAAGAAACGAGATGACAAAAACATACATGCTTCCCACTTGACTCTGAACTCGAACAGTTCTTGCCTAAGTGCAGTTTTGTGGGAAAAGGGGGAAAGAGGAAACAACTGTTGGGAACAGAAAAAAGAAAAAGCGAGGAGAGAAGTTGAAAATTAGTTGCAGGAGTTAGTGCCTCTCAGAATCACACCCCAGAGGCCAGAGTGGCTCTACCCACCCTCTGGATCTAACACATGAAGGGACAGAGCCCAGAAAAGGGCTGCACGGCTTGCCTGACATTACACGTGGCAGACCTGGGACTAGAAAATCCCATTCTACGGGCTTGAAAGTAGAACAGAAATAAAGAGCCCCTGAGGAAGAACCAGAACCCTGCTCCCCTCTCCCTTAAGCAATAAAGCCATCTTTGCTCAAAGATATTTCACACAGGGAAGAAAACAGCAGAAGAGGCCAGGCGCGGTGGCTCACATCTGTAATTCCAGCACTTTGGGAGGTCGAGGTGGGTGGATTACCTGAGGTTGGGAGTTCGAGACCAGCCTGGCCAACATGGCGAGACTCCATCTCTACTAAAAATACAAAAACTAGCCAGGCGTGGTGGCGGGCGCCTGTAGTCCCAGCTCCTCAGGAGGCTGAGGCAGAAGAATTGCTTGAACCCAGGAGGGGGACACTGCAGTGAGCCAAGATCATGCCACTGCACTCCAGCCTGGGCAACAGAGCAAGACTCTGTCTCAAAACAAAAAAAAACAGCAGCAGACCATCTGCTCCTCCTCTTAGGGGGAAGGTAAAAACCAACTGTTTCCCTTACCTGCAAAGTCCAAATCTTCTATATGGCATTTTTCTATCCTTTGCACCAGCTCTGGAATCCTGATGTTATACTTTTCAACAACTGCAATCTTGGCTTCGAGCTCCTTGTCCTCAGCAGCGGTCACATACCTCTTGAAGCCACTAAAGCCTTCTTTGTGCACCCATCTTCTGATAAATCTGTCTTTAATGACGAGGTTTTCTAAGGAGAACACACGCACAGGTTAAGGTGACACAAGCTCCACTCACAGATGGTGGCAGGTACTGCACGTTCCTAAGCAGCCGCACAAGAGCGGACGGTCTTAAAGTGGGGAGACCCAGGTTCCAGGCCTGACTGCATCACTAACTCGCTGTGTGTCCCTGGGCAAGTCAGTGCAGTGCGGTGGCCTCTCCGTCTCCGACTGAGGAGCAAAACCCTAGGCTCAAGATCCTCACCTACTTCACAGGGATTTGAAATAGCGCAGTCAACAGGAAAAGAAAAGCGCTCTAGAAATGTCTGACACTATCACTTGGGGCCCACGTGGAAGTGTACAACGTATAAAGTGGCCCAGGCAGACAGAAAGATGCAGGGGAAGACAGCCTATGGGACCAGTGTTGGAAAGAGACTGAGGCTCCTGTGGGGAGGATCTGGAAAAGTCTGTCAGTATCTATGAAAACAGGAGGCCTGAGGTACCCCCCTCTTCATGGGAAGAGAGCTCTAGCTCTCCCTTCTCTGGAGGGAAACGAGTCCCTGACTCAGACCGGGCCTGCTTCTTTCTCGTCCCTGTCCCTTGGGTGCTTCCTTCCAATGCACCAAGGCCAGGCGGGTACTCACGTTTCCTCCGTTCTTCCTCTGGCTGAAGAAGGATCCAAATATCAATGATTCTGTCCAATCCAAATGATTTAATCCCCTGAAAAAGTTTTTTGGTGGGATTTTTGTTTTTTTGTTGTGTTTTGTTTTGCTTGTTGTTGCTTTAACAAAACAAAATAAAGCAAATACAGGGATGGGGTTTTGAAATGAGATGGTTTCTTGGAAATGGATCTTGAGTTACACCCAAAGCACAGGCGGCAAGCAGGAAACTTCATGAAGCAGAAAGCGCGAGGCTGCCACGTGGCCTGAACACTCCCAGGGACCACATTCTAAGATACCGCTGCTACCTCAAACTCCTCCTACTCTTTTTAAAAAGGCAAGATCTATAGCTGCACGCTGCTTTCGCATCAATAAAAAGGCAAGTTAAGCACCTTCCAGGAACATGAGACGATTCTAAAGAATACAAACGGTGCCTGAATACAAAGTGCTTGGCATGCACATTTACCACTGTTTCTTGTGAGAAAAGAACTACAGGCTGGGCACGGTGGCTCACACCTGTAATCCCCGCATTTTGGGAGGCTGAGGTGGGTGGATTACTTGAGGCCAGGAGTTCAAGACCAGCCTGGCCAACATAGTGAAACCCGTCTCTACCAAAAATACAAAAATTAGCCGGGTATGGTGGCAGACACCTATAGTCTTAGCTAGTCAGGAGGCCAAGGCACAAGAATCTCTCAAACTGGGAGGTGGAGGTTACAGCGAACCGAGATCCCGCCATCGCACTCCAGCCTGGGTGACAGAGCAAGACTCTGTCTCAAAAAAAAAGAAACTACAGAATGTCTCTAGGTCCAGATTCTTCTACATTTTAACAGGTCAGCTCCTGGAGGAGACAGCCTGACTGTGCCCTGTTTAGCCCAGATCTACGCTAAGCACTGGCTGGGCTCTGGCACTCACACAGCACCAGGCCCCATACAGAAGACAGATACGACCAGGGCCTCACACTCCAAGGGCTTGACATCTTTTAGGGGGGGACACGTAAAACACTCACATAAAACAGCGGGCAGAATAACACAGTTGACATTATAACCCACAATCAGATGTGTGGTCATGTGTAATGACACATGGTACAGGTGATAAGTGGATTTAAGAGAGGTAGAGAGAACCACTCGCTTTATATCATGCCAGTGTGGATGATATTCCAAAAATACTACTCTCTTACAACAATGACTATGGCTAAATTATGTTATTATTTACCACACCAAATACTACAAGGTCATTAAAACAGTAATGAAGGAAAATATGCCTATGTGTTGAGTGAAAAACAGCATCCATTTCTAGGTACCCTATACTTGCAATTATGCAAAAATACACATCTATAAGGACAAAGACAAAAATAGCAAAAATGAGAACTATAATATGAAATACTGGGATTATGTGTTCTTTTTTAGGTTGCAAAATTTCTATACCATTGTTATATAGTCTTTATAAATAAACTTAAAACATCTTTTGATTAGGATTCATTGCTATATTCATTGAGTGCCTAATGCATAGTAGGCTCTTGAAAACATTTCCATAAATGAATGAGGGAATGTCTTTTTGTCATATAACTTTGCTTCAGGGTTAAAAATGCTGTAAACATGCCACTGAATCCTTCTAACTCCCTGTGAAACAGGTAAGGCAAGGCATTATTTTACCTCAGAGTGGAGAGAATGAGGCACACAGAAGCTGTGACTTGCCCCCAGCCACACGCGATTAGTGACCAGTCAGAACTAGAGCCTAGGTGTGTACTCCGCGTGTTGTCAGCTCAGCTGTTCTCACACTAACGACAACACACAACCAGAAAAGCTTCCAGTAACCCGCGGCCTCACTGGCATTGTCAAGGGAAGAAGGGCATTCACTGTTTAAAGAGTGGAAACTAAGGTCCCCAGCCCTTCTTGTGTCTGCCTTTCCAGGAATGTTTCACTGTCATAATCGGAATGGCCTGGGATACAGACCAGCCATGGTGCAGCCCGGTGGAAAGAGTCAAAAACCCAAATGCTTTCTTGCATGATAATCCCAATGAGGGCGAACATTTTCACTGGGTATGTTCATCTACAACGTTTCTGTGCATGAAGTGGTCAACAGAAATGTACTCTTACCCCAATCAAATGTATCCTTGAAGGGACTTCCCCTTCCGTCACCCGTACGGCCTCATCAAACACGTTGGCGTTGGTCCGGGACAACAAGGCCACTTGCCCCTTTGCGTCACCTCTAATGCCACCTTTAGGGAGAGAGCACAAACTCTATGGCAAATCGAAATAAAGACGAAAACTTTTGTAACATAAAAGAGAAAAGTAACTCAAAGCCTTACTCTGATGGTTTCCTCCAACCAAAGTCTTTTTCCTGACTCTCTTGCAAACATCCAAGATAGTAGCTCCCACATAAGCTATTTCAACACCAAACCGAAAACTCTGGAAAACAGCAAGACAGAGGGAGTCAGAAGCCCGCCCTGCGGTGTGTCCGTGCGTTTCCATCACTGCCACCACAGCCCGGGCAGGCCAGACCCGACAAGTTCTTCCTGACCCCCCGCACGGAAAGCGAACTTCACGGGCTCACTTTCTAGGCCCTTCACAACCCGGCAGTCTTTATTTTCCGTTATTCTCAACACAAATAGTAAAGTTTTCTTTTAAGCAAATCTACCCTTTTCTCCAAATCAAATCTAGTGAAGTCTAAATCATACAAAAGATTAAGATAGGGTAAGGAGGGCTTCTCCCCTTGCCTTTGAGATCCCTCTCCACACTACCTTTAAAACCACTGCCCTGCACCAACCAGCCATGGCAGAAGCACTAGCACCTGCACATTGCCCACGCTGCCCTGCCTCAGCCCACGCTGCTTTCTGTCTGACTTGCATCTACCAAAGTCACTTCCTAACCTTCAAAACTCAGCCCAAGACCCTGCTTCCTTCACCCCTCCAGCTGACAAGGTATCATTCTTCCCTACACTCAGAGTGTGTATGGCCTATTTTCATGCACACACAACTTCAGGTGCTTTGGTGAATAGCAAATGAAAACTAGACTTTAAACAAACACTACTTTGTTACTATAAAACTACTCTGAGTGAACCGTAACTGAAATTATAACATAAATATCCATGAGTTCATATTTAGATAAATGATTGAATATTTAAATAGATGGGATAGAAGAAACAAATCTCCTTTGCAGAAGAATTCCAAATAATTTATGAAGATTCGTGGACACTTACTCCTTGAGTGTATAGAGACTTCCTTCCAAAGCATCCAGTAGGGAAAGGATGAAAAAAAAGAGGAACTCTACAGTGGAGAAACCTGACAAACACTACATCAGCCAGGTGGTCAAGGTCAACCTCAAGTCATGAGCCATGGTGACAGCATGCACCTCGACAGCATGTGATGAAAATGGAGCTTCACCTCTGTGGTCTTCCTCCCAGAACCCAGAACTCTAGCCTAACCATGAGAAAAGACATTAGACAAATCCCAGCACAGGGGCAGCCTACAAATGCCTAACTGGAACTTCTGGAAACTGTGAAAGTCACATCAGAAATAGAGAAAGTCTGAGCAACTGTCACAGGCAAGAAGAGCCTTATGACACATGGCTACATGTAATGTGGGATCCTGGATGGGATCCTGAAGTCACAAAAGACATTATTTCAAAACTAAGGAAATGCAAATGAACCATGGACTTCAGCCTATTAATAATGTATCAATGTTGGTTCATTATCGTGACAAGTGTTCCACATGAATATAAGACGATAAGATGTTAGTAATGGGAAACTGAGTACAGGACATATGAGAACTCTCCTCTCGATTTTTCTGGAAATCTGAAACTATTCTAAAAAAATATTGTCTATTAAAAGAACAAAACACTTCTGCACTGATGCTACCCTAAATCACCACAGCAGCAGGAGCTCAAGGGAAGCGTAACAGAGGCAACTACGGAACTTTCAATAACATCACAAAACACAGCACAGTTGATACTTTCATCCAAGTGAGACATCGCTTCTTTTTTTTTTAAGAGACGGAGTCTCGCTCTGTCGCCCAGGCTGGAGTGCAGTGGCGCGATCTCGGCTCACTGCAAGCTCCACCTCCGAGGTTCGCGCCATTCTCCTACCTCAGTCTCTGGAGTAGCTGGGACTACAGGCGCCCGCCACAGCACCCAGCTAATTTTTTATATTTTTAGTAGAGACAGGGTTTCACCATGTTAGCCAGGATGGTCTCGATCTCCTGACCTCATGATCCGCCCGCCTCGGCCTCCCAAAGTGCTGGGATTACAGGCGTGAGCCACCATGCCCAGCCGAGACATCTCTTCTAAGTAGAAATGAGTTTCTTAAAAGCAGTGGTTCTCAAACTTCTGGTCTCAGGATGCTTCACAATTAAAAATCACACTTAAAAAGCCTCCAAAGAGCTTTTATTTACGTGAGCTCTATCTATCTATATTTATCATATTAGAAATTTTAATTCATTTAAAAATAACGATTCAAAACTATTTTTTTTTAAAGACAGAGTCTCACTGTGTCGCCCAGGCTGGAGTACAATGGTGCAATCTCGGCTCACTGCAACCTCTACCTCCTGGGTTCAAGTGATTCTCCTGCCTCAGCCTCTCGAGTAGCTGACACTACAGGCGTGAGCCATCACGCCTGGCTAATTTTTGTATTTTTAGTAGAGACAGGGTTTTACCATGTTGGCCAGGCTGGTATTGAACTCCTGACCTCAAGTGATCTGTCCTTCTTGGCCTCCCAAAATGCTGGGATTACAGGCATAAGCCACCATGCCCAGCCAAAAGCCTCTTATGTGACGACATAAAGAACATATTTTTTGAAATATATTTCCCAGAACAAAGAAAAAAATTCACCAAGAAGAATGGCACCATGTTCCATTTTTGCAAATCTCTTCAATGCCTGGCGTAACAGAAGACTGCTGGCTTCCTATGTTCACATCTGCATTGTCTGCTGTGATATGCTGTCTTGGTTGACACACATGAAGAAAATTCAACCCCACGCAGACATGTGATTGGAAAGGAAGGCGCGCATAATAAACTTTTCGCATAATCGAGGACACTGTGAGTTGTCATGTTCATTATGGGAGAGTTTGCCAAAATTTTAATTTCACTTGAAAGCAAAGATGTTATTTTTGACAACAAACACTGTCAGTTATTTTCCCCGAAGTCGCAGCTTGTTTCATTCGTCTTTGAAAAAGTGCCAAATACACAAGTCTGAACAACCAGCGCTGGTCTAACAACTGTTCTAAGTACAAACATACAAGGCGGCAGCAGCCGTCAGTTCACAGTTCAGCCGCAGCAGCTCTTCCTCAGATGACCGCTGTGCACGCACCTCTTATGAAAACAGTCTGACTTGGCAGACCCAGAGAACCACACTTTGAGAACCACTACTTAGAAGCAAGGATTTGCTAGCTCTGGTGAGCCTGGCATACCACCTTGCACAGGGCCCAGCACGTAAGACACTGGGAGGGAGAAGAAATGGCTCCGATGCAGAGCGTGCACTTACCTGCGTGAGATAGAAGACGTGGGTGTGGGGCACTGTGAACAGGGCGTTGACCGCACCCCGGAAGGTATAGATCTGCTGGTGCGGGTCCCCTACAAAGATTTTCCCACATGGCTGAGACAGAACTATGTTCATGATAGCTGTAACCAATGAGAGGAAAAGTGAGAAACCTTGAGGCCTCCACCCCAGGCAGCAAAAAGAAAAGGACAAAACACTTCCGTGAAGCTAAGCCAGGGCACCCTGGACCTCAAGGTCGCCTTTTCCTGCAGGACAGGCACACTCCATCAAAAGCAGCTATTTTATAATGGACAAAAGAAACAGTTTCTGGTCCTAGGAATGCAGATTATGTTTCGCCCTGGATGAACTGTTGGAACCTAAGAAAACAACACAGGCAAATCTAAAATGAGGCAAATTGTCTTTAATGTTACAGCACTCGAAATTGACCTACAAAGTCAGATTCATTAACACTGTCTGTTCTCTCTTAGCCACTTGAGAAACAAACAACACAAGCTTTTCCCTCTCAACGGACGATCTCTTCCCACTGAGCATGAATCTAGGTCCCTATCGTCTGCGGGTCTACAACTTGGTCAACATGTTAAGAATAACCTAAGTAAAACCTATGGTGACAGAGAAATCTGCTTGGGTGAGGGCAAGGGGCAGCTTGAAATCCTAAGGTGATTAAGAAGATCCTCTTCTTTATCACAAATAAGAATAATCAACTTAGTTCACACAGGTGTCCTCTTACATAATCATAGTGCTGTTTCTACGTATTTGAGACTACTGATGTCCTGAACAGCGTATCACCTGGTGTGCAGTCCTGAGCCTCATCCACAAAGATGGCGTCAAAAGAGGCCAGCAAAGGCTTACTCAGCTGCCAGAGTTTCAAGTAGCCTAAAATAAGGAGAGAGGCAGGAGTTGTAACTCCAGGAAGGCAGTCCCACTTGCCAGTCCCCGCCATCCGGCAGCTGCCTACCGTCATGAGTCATCTGGTATGCCTCTTCTGTGCACTCCCCCAGCTTCCGCATGTTATCCCAGAGGCGGCTTGCTTCAAGGACACCATTCTAGGAAGGAAGGTATATGGTAACCCAGAGTTTGAGACCCTGGCAAAGGCAGCACCCTGCAGTCACACTTTCAATTCCTATACAGCAGTGGAGCCAGGGCATCATCACAGAAGGGGGACCGCAGGCACCTCCCTAACCTCCTGGGTCTCCTCAACAGCCTCCCCACGCCACAGAGGGTCTCCAGTGCTGAGACAGGAAGCAGCCGGGCCATGCCACGCCCATGACAGGGCAGAGGTCACAACAGTTAGGTGAACCAGAAAAGGCCAAATTGTTTTTCTAGATTTATGACTGATTCTTAATTCATAAAAACAATGGCAAATGAAAAAGACTTGATAAAAATAAGAAACAGACTTTCCCACTAGCAAAATCTACTCCATAGAACCAATAACCCAAGAAAATCAGAAGAGAGATTCCAGCCTTCAGTTAAGATCAGACTTGAGGTCCAGAAACCCCAGTGACAAGCTCTTATAAACTCAGGCAGGTCGTTCCATGTCTGCCTTCTCGTTAAATGGGAGGACTATTCTGAGGCTTAAGTGAGATGGTCACCGGTATCCTACACAGGAGAAAATATCCAACAATTCACAGCCATCCCCATGGGCCCACAGCCTCACCCTCCAACCCTCAACCTCCTATGAACAGCTCTGAAAAAGTGAAAGAAGAAATAATGCTGTCCCATACTCCCTGTTTCCCCATCCTCAGATCCCAAACACTTCCCATTTCCCCCATCCTCAGATCCCGAACACTTCCCCTGTTCCCCATCCTCAGATCCCTAACACTTCCCGTTTCCCCCATCCTCAGATCCCTAACACTTCCCACTTCCCCCATCCTCAGATCCCTAACACTTCCCGTTTCCCATCCTCAGATCCCTAACACTTTCCCTGTTCCCCATCCTCAGATCCCTAACACTTCCCCTGTTCCCCATCCTCAGATCTCTAACACTTCCCTTTTCCCCCATCCTCAGATCCCTAACACTTCCTATTTCCCCCATCCTCAGATCCCTAACACTTCCCATTTTCCCCATCCTCAGATCCCTAACACTTCCCATTTTCCCCATCCTCAGATCCCTAACACTTCCCATTTCCCCCATTCTCAGATCCCTAACACTTCCCGTTTCCCCCATCCTCAGATCCCTAACACTTCCCGTTTCCCATCCTCAGATCCCTAACACTTCCCATTTCCCCATCCTCAGATCCCCAACACTTCCCCTGTTCCCCATCCTCAGATCCCTAACACTTCCCCTGTTCCCCATCCTCAGATCCTTAACACTTCCCCTGTTTACCCATCCTCAGATCCCTAACACTTTCCCTGTTCCCCATCCTCAGATCCCTAACACTTCCCCTGTTCCCCATCCTCAGATCCCTAACACTTCCCTTTTCCCCCATCCTCAGATCCCTAACACTTCCCGTTTCCCCCATCCTCAGATCTCTAACACTTCCCGTTTCCCCCATCCTCAGATCCCTAACACTTCCCATTTCCCCCATCCTCAGATCCCTAACACTTCCCGTTTCCCCCATCCTCAGATCCCTAACACTTCCCGTTTCCCATCCTCAGATCCCTAACACTTTCCCTGTTCCCCATCCTCAGATCCCTAACACTTTCCCTGTTCCCCATCCTCAGATCCCTAACACTTCCCCTGTTTCCCCATCCTCAGATCCCTAACACTTCCCATTTCCCCATCCTCAGATCCCCAACACTTCCCCTGTTCCCCATCCTCAGATCCCTAACACTTCCCCTGTTCCCCATCCTCAGATCCTTAACACTTCCCCTGTTTACCCATCCTCAGATCCCTAACACGTCCCCTGTTTCCCCATCCTCAGATCCCTAATACTTCCCCTGTTCCCCTATCCTCAGATCCCCAACACTTCCCCTGTTCCCCTATCCTCAGATCCCTAATACTTCCCGTTTCCCCCATCCTCAGATCCCCAACACTTCCCATTTCCCCCATCCTCAGATCCCTAACACTTCCCATTTCCCCCATCCTCAGATCCCCAACACTTCCCCTGTTCCCCTATCCTCAGATCCCTAATACTTCCCGTTTCCCCCATCCTCAGATCCCTAACACTTCCCATTTCCCCCATCCTCAGATCCCTAACACTTCCCATTTCCCCCATCCTCAGATCCCTAACACTTCCCATTTCCCCCATCCTCAGATCCCTAAGACTTCCCATTTCCCCCATCCTCAGATCCCTAACACTTCCCACTTCCCCCATCCTCAGATCCCTAATACTTCCCGTTTCCCCATCCTCAGATCCCTAACACTTCCCGTTGCCCCATCCTTAGATCCCTAACACTTCCCATTTCCCCCATCCTCAGATCCCTAACACTTCCCGTTTCCCATCCTCAGATCCCTAACACTTCCCCTGTTCCCCATCCTCAGATCCCTAACACTTCCCTTTTCCCCCATCCTCAGATCCCTAACACTTCCCATTTCCCCCATCCTCAGATCCCTAACACTTCCCGTTTCCCATCCTCAGATCCCTAACACTTTCCCTGTTCCCCATCCTCAGATCCCTAACACTTTCCCTGTTTCCCCATCCTCAGATCCCTAACACTTCCCATTTCCCCATCCTCAGATCCCCAACACTTCCCCTGTTCCCCATCCTCAGATCCCTAACACTTCCCGTTTCCCATCCTCAGATCCCTAACACTTCCCCTGTTCCCCATCCTCAGATCCCTAACACTTCCCTTTTCCCCCATCCTCAGATCCCTAACACTTCCCATTTCCCCCATCCTCAGATCCCTAACACTTCCCGTTTCCCATCCTCAGATCCCTAACACTTTCCCTGTTCCCCATCCTCAGATCCCTAACACTTCCCGTTTCCCCATCCTCAGATCCCTAACACTTCCCATTTCCCCATCCTCAGATCCCCAACACTTCCCCTGTTCCCCATCCTCAGATCCCTAACACTTCCCCTGTTCCCCATCCTCAGATCCTTAACACTTCCCCTGTTTACCCATCCTCAGATCCCTAACACTTCCCCTGTTTCCCCATCCTCAGATACCTAATACTTCCCCTGTTCCCCCATCCTCAGATCCCCAACACTTCCCCTGTTCCCCTATCCTCAGATCCCTAATACTTCCCATTTCCCCCATCCTCAGATCCCTAACACTTCCCATTTCCCCCATCCTCAGATCCCTAACACTTCCCATTTCACCCATCCTCAGATCCCTAACACTTCCCATTTCCCCCCTCCTCAGATCCCTAACACTTCCCACTTCCCCCATCCTCAGATCCCTAATACTTCCTGTTTCCCCATCCTCAGATCCCTAACACTTCCCGTTTCCCCATCCACAGATCCCTAACACTTCCCATTTCCCCCAACCTCAGATCCCTAACAATTCCCGTTTCCCCATCCTCAGATCCCTAACACTTCCCGTTTCCCCATCCTCAGATCCCTAACACTTCCCATTTCCCCATCCTCAGATCCCTAACACTTCCCATTTCCCCATCCTCAGAACCCTAACACTTCCCATTTCCCCATCCTAGGATCCCTAACACTTCCCGTTTCCCCATCCTTAGATCCCTAACACTTCCCATTTCCCCCAACCTCAGATCCCTAACACTTCCCGTTTCCCCATCCTCAGATCCCCAACACTTCCCCTGTTCCCCATCCTCAGATCCCTAACACTTCCCCTGTTCCCCATCCTCAGATACCTAACACTTCCCGTCTCCCCATCCTCAGATCCCCAACACTTCCCCTGTTCCCCATCCTCAGATCCCTAACACTTCCCCTGTTCCCCATCCTCAGATCCTGAACACTTCCCCTGTTTACCCATCCTCAGATCCCTAACACTTCCCCTGTTTCCCCATCCTCAGATCCCTAATACTTCCCCTGTTCCCCCATCCTCAGATCCCCAACACTTCCCCTGTTCCCCTATCCTCAGATCCCTAATACTTCCCATTTCCCCCATCCTCAGATCCCTAACACTTCCCATTTCCCCCATCCTCAGATCCGTAACACTTCCCCTATTTCCCCATCCTCAGATCCCTAACATTTCCCGTTTCCCCATCCTCAGATCCCTAATACTTCCCCTGTTCCCCTATCCTCAGATCCCCAACACTTCCCCTGTTCCCCTATCCTCAGATCCCTAACACTTCCCGTTTCCCCATCCTCAGATCCCTAACACTTCCCATTTCCCCCATCCTCAGATCCCTAACACTTCCCGTTTCCCCATCCTCAGATCCCTAACACTTCCCGTTTCCCCCATCCTCAGATCCCTAACACTTCCCGTTTCCCCATCCTTAGATCCCTAACACTTCCCATTTCCCCCAACCTCAGATCCCTAACACTTCCCGTTTCCCCATCCACAGATCCCCAACACTTCCCTTGTTCCCCATCCTCAGATCCCTAACACTTCCCCTGTTTCCCCATCCTCAGATCCCTAACATTTCCCGTTTCCCCATCCTCAGATCCCTAATATTTCCCCTGTTCCCCTATCCTCAGATCCCCAACACTTCCCGTTCCCCTATCCTCAGATCCCTAACACTTCCCGTTTCCCCATCCTCAGATCCCTAACACTTCCCATTTCCCCCATCCTCAGATCCCTAACACTTCCCGTTTCCCCATCCTCAGATCCCCAACACTTCCCGTTTCCCCCATCCTCAGATCCCTAACACTTCCCGTTTCCCCATCCTTAGATCCCTAACACTTCCCATTTCCCCCAACCTCAGATCCCTAACACTTCCCGTTTCCCCATCCACAGATCCCTAACACTTCCCTTGTTCCCCATCCTCAGATCCCTAACACTTCCCCTGTTTCCCCATCCTCAGATCCCTAACATTTCCCGTTTCCCCATCCTCAGATCCCTAATATTTCCCCTGTTCCCCTATCCTCAGATCCCCAACACTTCCTGTTCCCCTATCCTCAGATCCCTAACACTTCCCGTTTCCCCATCCTCAGATCCCTAACACTTCCCATTTCCCCCATCCTCAGATCCCTAACACTTCCCGTTTCCCCATCCTCAGATCCCCAACACTTCCCGTTTCCCCCATCCTCAGATCCCTAACACTTTCCGTTTCCCCCATCCTCAGATCCCCAACACTTCCCGTTTCCCCATCCTCAGATCCCTAACACTTCCCATTTCCCCCATCCTCAGATCCCTAATACTTCCTCTATTCCCCTATCCTCAGATCCCTAACACTTTCCGTTTCCCCATCCTCAGATCCCTAACACTTCCCATTTCCCCCATCCTCAGATCCCTAACACTTCCCGTTTCCCCATCCTCAGATCCCCAACACTTCCCGTTTCCCCCATCCTCAGATCCCTAACACTTTCCGTTTCCCCCATCCTCAGATCCCTAACACTTCCCGTTTCCCCATCCTCAGATCCCTAACACTTCCCATTTCCCCCATCCTCAGATCCCTAATACTTCCTCTATTCCCCTATCCTCAGATCCCTAACACTTTCCGTTTCCCCATCCTCAGATCCCTAACACTTCCCATTTCCCCCATCCTCAGATCCCTAATACTTCCTCTATTCCCCTATCCTCAGATCCCTAACACTTCCCGTTTCCCCCATTCTCAGATCCCTAACGCTTCATACACTTAGACACTCACCAGTTTTTCACTCTGCTCAACCATGACTCTCTGTCCTTGGCTGTTCTTACACCAAATAGGCACGTGATCAATGGTCAGCTCTTCGTCAGCGGAGGCAAAGAAGTTCTCCAGAGTCTTACACACGAGCTTGGCTCTTATGAATCCACCCTTCCCTTCAGCAAGGACGGAGTTGACCATGAAAGGTGTTAACTTGAAGAGATTCAACTTCTTCTTCGACTGGTACCTGCAATACCCATCCCCAATGAACAGCACGTGGCTTTCCTGGCTCGGTGCTATTTAACATCTCCTCCACTCTAACGTCACCAGGAGGTAGCTTCAAGTGCCACGCACAGGCGAGACCAAATGTTTTAAAGCAAGAAAGTTCTGCATGGTCCTTTTCTGACTGGAAACCGCTTTCAGGACTCCCATGTACCAAACCAGAAGAGGAACCAGCTTACAGCAGACACTGCTATTCCACCATGAAGCTGGGCTCCAGGAGGTCCCCAGAGGGACACTCAGAGTTCCCTGATGCCTCTACATCCAGGAGACCTGAGGCAAGTGTGCCTCGGACAAGTCTTCCTCACTCCCTTCCAAGGAAAGCCTACAACTGATCAGGATTTGTGAGACTGAACTTTAAGCGAGTAATTCTGACTTTCTGTGCCTCAGTTCCATGACAACACCCCTCTCGGCAAGACGGCATTATATGTAAACAATATGTTGCTACAGGATAAAAGTACAAAAGACTAAACCTATGTTTTTATTTCCTGCCTGTAAGTGGAGATAACAGCGCTACACTTCTCAGGGTCACTGTGGTGTAAGTTCACAGGTAATCGTCAGGGGAAAACAGTAAGACGCGGCCGTGCCAGCAGCAACGGCGCCACTAGTGACAGCAGTACTCACTTCCGCCCTATGTGCCCGTAGGCCATGGAATGGAAGGTTTTGCAGATGACGTTGCTGGGGAAGACGCGTTCGGCCTGCTTTGCGATGCTCTTGTTGAACGTCACATACAGAAACCTGCTCTGAGACCACTTCTCTGCGTACTTGACCAGGGTTGAGGTCTTCCCAGTACCTGGGGAAGCCAGGAGGAAAGGAGGTGACCCTCTGACCAGACAAGACATGCCCAGGGATCCCCAATCAGGCCTTGTCCAGGCTTATCACACCTCTGTCTTGACAGCAGGACAGTGACAAGTTTTTCAGTGCTGATAAAAGTAGTGCCACAAAAAGAGCAGCAGATTCGAAGCTGGGTGAAGGCGGGCTGGGATCTCAGCTCAGGTAGGCTCCAGCCTAGGGACAAAGGACAGGCGGACCCCTTGACCTCATGAGCTTCAGTTTGCTTCTCAGAAATAAGTGGGTATCCCTTAGAGGTAGGGTTCCTGAGGGCAAAAATGCCCCTCAGGACAGGAGGCGAGGGCTAGGGAGGGGAAAGCATGTCTCCGGAGAGAGGCAAGTCCAGCTTTGAATTCTGCCTCCACCACGAATCCACTTATTCAACCTGGGGCAAGGCTCTCTGTGCTTCAATTTCTTCCTCTATAAAATAAGAATAACTAAGCAACCTCATGGAATGCTATCAGGATCAGCACCATGCCAGGCACACTGCAGGCATTTAATACATTGTCGTTGTTGTTAGCAGGGTATTTAGCCACAAAAGGAGCAGGAAGGGATTACAGGTAGAAAAAAATAGCAAATAGCATGAGCAAAGGCTGTGATGAAAGAATAAGCAAGTACTTCAGGAGGCTGTAAGTGGATCGGTGTGGCTGACTGAGGCAGGATAATTGTAGATAATATATTTATGAATGTACGTTAAAACTGAATCCAAGGCAGACCCTCTAGACGTCACCCCACAAAACTAGGGAGTTACTGAAACCCTGGGCTGGAGATGAACATGCCCTCCCTCTCCAGAAGCCGTCAGTGCCTCAGCAAACATCACAATGCTGGGCTCAATCCTGGGGGCATCTACCCCACCAACTAACTGCTGTGAACGACCCGTCAACAGGAATTCTACTGTGGATGTTCATGGAGTGGTCCGGGGAAGCAAGGATTCCTTGGTCAATTGCTTTTGAGATTGATTATTTGATCTGTTATCAAATGGTTAGTTGGATGACCTATCAGAGCAAAGATGCCCTGGCGGGTAGCGGGAAGGGGCTGTAGGGAGAAAAGGCAGAAAACCACCGCCTGGGAAGCCTGATGTGGGCGCCCTCACCTGCAAACGCCATGATTTTCACCACCTGGAGAGGTTCCATCTTATGATTCAGAATCAGCTGTTGTTCATGCGTAAGTTGGATGGTTTTCTTGCTATAATCATGACAGAAGAGAAATGAGAAAAACAGAAAGACATGAAAAGTCCAGGGGATGGATAGGCTGTCCAAAAACCAAACAGACAAATACGATATACAAAAGCTGACCAGAAAAAGGCCTCCCCTTACGGGAATAAAAATGTTCTAAAGCTAGATTATAATGCTGACGCACACTCAGGCAATTTCACTGAATTGCACTCTTAGGATGGGTGAATTTTACGCAATGCACATTATGCCTCAATGACGTTGCTAAAGTGAAGCGAAACATCTCCCTCCCTAAGTATAAGGAAGAGTCAAGGACAGAAGACAAAACACATGCTGACCGACATATACACATACCCTGGCCAGACAGATGGCTCCTCTTTAACTTTTGTGGCCTGAGTGCAGGAATTCTCCTGAAGATATAGGCAATAGAAAATGTTGTAGTGAATCCTACCAGAAAAAAAAGTAGATTTAGAAAGTTTCAAATTCAAGTCACAATCTGTACCTTATTTTTCCTCAGATGGATTTAAACTCCTTCCCATTTCTAAAAAGAAAATACCTACCACCATTTAATGGAAAAAAGAAAGAAAAGGGTTTAAATATATCTATGGCTGGCAAAGCATTCTCAGATAACAGTCCTGGGAAAGGTGTAGTTTCTGTGTGTATCACCAAGAGGAGGAAGAGACCAGGACAGGCTCTTCAGGGAATGACGGGCACCAGCGGTGACTTTAAGAGCTAAACAACCAGAAAAGCTGTAAGGACCAGTGGAAGGCAAAGGGAAACACTGCTCCTAGCACTGAGACTCTTGTTTGAATGATACTCACTATACCTGCGGATAAAAACACCAGCCTCTTTCTAAACCTCAGTGGCTCTGCTGTCTACTTCTTATGACATGACATTGCTTTAGAAGCATGAACGCATTCTATCTTTTAAGGTCCCAAGAAAAGGGACTACGCTACGGATAACAAGATCTGATTACTAAGGACCTGAAAACAACAGCCTCCAAGTCACCAAGAGGGACCAAAGATGACAAAGTTCAATCAGCAGAGGCACAGGACATTGTCAGACTCGTCAGACTCAGCTGGCACATGCCATTCCAAAGCCTCTCCAAATCTCCTCTCGACTGTGGGGGAGACCAGGGGGTGAGCCTGGACTCACTCCCCCAACAATCGAGTGCACTGCTCCCCATCCCCAGAGCGAGAAGAGCCTGTCTCCAAGCCTCGACCTCTCCAATGCAACAAATACCTTTAATAATCCAACATTTCAGATGTGATTATATTATCTCCCAGAAAAAACAGGAAGACACATAGAAACGCAACAAAGATCAACATACATACTGCCATGGACTGAAGTGCGTCCCTTGAAAGTCCCGTGTTGAAGCGCTACCCAATGTGGTGTGTGCAATAAGGAAGTAGTTAATGTTAGGTGAGAGTACAAGGGCAGGGCCCTGATCCAGAGGCATTAGGGTCCTCCTAAGAGGAGATGCCAGAGTGTTCTCTCCACCCTGTGGGGATGCGGCAAGAAGGCAGCCATCAGCAAACTCTTGGACACTTCTGGGGAATCTTGTTCCCTCCTGGTACCTTGCCACTGATGCCTGGGCACCCGTCACTCCCCTGGTGCCACCAGCCACCTTCCTCTCGGGGCTTGCAACTTCCAGGGGCCAGTCTCCCTGGAGAAGGCACCCCCTCCCCCGCCCCACCCCCGACGGTTTCTGCTTCTCCAGGATGGCTGCACGGTCGAGCTACCTGTCCCCATCACTCCAACTCAGGGACAAGGCCCTCCCCAGCTGCCCAGCACACCCTGAGTTTTAGTCTACATTTTTTTTTTTTTTAGAGCCTCACTCTGTCGCTCAGGTTGGAGTACAGTGGAATGATCTCGTCTCACTGCAGGCTCTGCCTCCTGGGTTCAAGTGATTTTCGTGCCTTAGCCTCCCGAGTAACCGGGGAATAGAGACACGCACCACCAAAAATTTCCGGCTAATTTTTTTTTTTTTTTTAAGACGGAGTCTCACTCTGTCGCCCAGGCTGGAGTGCGGTGGCCAGATCTCGGCTCACTGCAAGCTCCGCCTCCTGGGTTTACGCCATTCTCCTGCCTCAGCCTCCCGAGTAGCTGGGACTACAGGCGCCCGCCACCTCGCCTGGCTAGTTTTTTTGTATTTTTTAGTAGAGACAGGGTTTCACCGTGTTAGCTAGGATGATCTCGATCTCCTGACCTCGTGATCCGCCCGCCTCAGCCTCCCAAAGTGCTGGGATTACAGGCTTGAGCCCAACGCGCCCGGCCTAATTTTTGTATTTTTAATAGAGATGGGGTTTCTCCTTGGTGGCCAGGCTGGTCTTTAGCTCCTGGCCTCAAGCGAACTGCCTGCCTCGCCTCCCAAAGTGCTGGATTACAGGTGTGAGCCACCGAGCCTGGCTTTATTCTACCTTCTAATCCGGGCCTATAAGATCCCTCAAGTGCTCCTGTCCGTCCTTCACAATCTTGTGTTCCCTCCCACCCTTGCCATACTGCACTTTTTCTCTTCCTCACATGTCCCAAGTTCATTCCCATCTTCAGGCCCTTAAGGCATCTACACCTTCTCCTAAACTGCTCTCCCCACAGTTGTGAAACGGCGGCTCCTCCTCCACACTCAGGTTTCACTCAGACACTACCTGCTCAGAGAAGCTTTTTCCACCCCTCTAAAGCAGCATTCCCCCCATAGCACTCTGTTCTAGTTTCTCTGCAGTGCTCATTACTCACTAAAATGCCTTTTCACACATTCACTTACACAGGACCTGTCTTCCCTCACTAGATCAGGAATCTGCTCTAAGCTGTGGACTGGCTCGTGGACAACTATCGGACATGCACAGGTGTTCAGTGTTTGTCAGATGCACACGACTCCCCAGGCACTCCCCACCCTGCTGAGGAAACCATCGGGGCCCCTGTGAATCAGCAGCCCACACGCAACAGCCTCTCCCACGTGATAAGAGGGACGAGTCTTCTCCATCCCACAAGTGGGAAACGGAGGAAGCAGAGCCTAACATTTTCCTAGGGAAGCGAGGCCACAGGTGAATAAGGAAGGCTTCTCTTGGCGAGGGGCTTCCCCTAAGGCTGCAGGACCCATGATGGTAAAATCGGCCTTGGTGGTATCTTGCAGCCACCTAGAACTGTACGTTCATAACGCACTCTTACCAGCCTTTCCACATCAAACTCTCCACCCCTGGCTCCTGCAGAAGATGACACTGAGGTGGAGCAGGGTGGGTCCCACAGCCTGCCGCCTGCTAATACCGCTAAGTGGCAGGGCTGGACCTGCTGCCGCATCTGGGACTCTCCCGTTATCACAGCATCCCCTCCCCTCCTCCCGGGGCATTACCTATTGCTGATGTTAATCCCCTTCTCCCTCATGGCGTAGAGAAGCACGGCTATGCAGTACAGGGTCTCGGTGACATCTGGCATGGTCACCGTGGAGCTGGGTCTCCGGAGGCAGAAGAGCAGTTGCTGGATGTCATTCACACTGCTGGAGAGGAGCACCATAGCCGCCACCAGGGCCCAGACGTTGACACCCTGCAAGCCAGGTGCACAGGGAAGGAGGGACAGCCCAAACACAGGCCATGGTTAATACGAATCACAGCAGGAAGGAGCCGAGCCGGGGGTCCAGCTGCTGGCTACAGACTGTCTGGATTGAATCCAAATTTTCCAAGTGGTATTTGGGAAACAGAGGAGCCCTTCCGTTCGCCCTGGACTCCTTCTCATCACTTTTGGATTTGAGATCTTAGTTTTCTTTAATTAAATAACATGGATGAAGTATCTAACATAGAACCTTGGATAGAGAGACAGTCTAAAAATATGAGCTCCCTGTCATCTCACCACCCTACTCTCCAGGCCACGGGGGCTCTCAGGCCCATAACGTTTGGCGGGGCCAGAGAAAAACAGCCAGCAGGGGGCGCCCACCCAAGAGGCAAGAGAGACGCAGACACAGGAGAGGGCTGCTCGCAGGCTGTAGGGGAAATAAAGTCTGGCAATTCTCCAGCATGATGGTGTTAACTTGCTATTTATTATTAGTAATAACTTTTCATGGTAAGTTAAATAAATATGAAATTACGGAAAGTTTATTCTGTGAAGACAGCATGCTCCTCTTAGCAATGTCTCCATAAATGTTCACTTACACAGAAAGTTAATAGTGGACACAGGTTTTTTGTTTTTTTGAGATAAAGTCTCACTCTCACACAGGCTGGAGTGCAGTTGCACGATCTCAGCTCACTGCAACCTCCGCTGGCCAGGTTCAAGCAATTTTCTTGTCTCAGCCTCCAGAGTAGCCATGACTACAGGTACATGCCACCATGCTCGGCTAATTTTTTTATTTTTGGTAGAGACAGGGCTTCACCATGTTGGCCAGGCTGGTCTTGAACTCCTGACCTCAGGTGATCCACCCACCTTGGCCCCCCAAAGTGCTGGGATAACAGGTGTGAGCCACCACACCCAGCCTTTACCATTCTTAAGTTACTACACGTCTCTGTGTTAAAGAACACATTCCGGCCGGGCGCGGTGGCTCAAGCCTGTAATCCCAGCACTTTGGGAGGCTGAGACGGGCGGATCACGAGGTCAGGAGATTGAGATCATCCTGGCTAACACGGTGAAACCCCGCCTCTACTAAAAAATACAAAAAACTAGCCGGGCGAGGTGGCGGGCGCCTGTAGTCCCAGCTACTCGGGAGGCTGAGGCAGGAGAATGGCGTAAACCCGGCAGGCGGAGCTTGCAGTGAGCTGAGATCCGGCCACTGCACTCCAGTCTGGGTGACAGAGCGAGACTCCATCTCAAAAAAAAAAAAAAAAAAAAAAAAGAACACATTCCAAGAAAGGAATGTCCCATCCCCTCTCACTTCAACCATCCTACGAAAGAAGACCCACTCCACCATCATCAGCAATCATCTTCTTCAAGATAAAGAGAAATGCAGTTGCCTGGGTTCCCAGCGCTCTGTGGCCAGCAAAACACACGCAGAGGTTGCACGTAGCCTCGAAGATTAAATCTGGGAACCCCTGAACTGGAAGACGAGCAACAGGGCTGAGATTCAAGGAGACTGAGGGTTATTTCCAGCTTCTCATTACTTCATTGTGTGACTATAGCAAGACCCTTAATTTTTCTGTCCCTTTCAAATAAGCCAAGTTGTCAATAATGGGGTGGGCTGTCTTGTAAAGAAATCCTATTATTAAAAGTGTTCAGAGGCTAAATGACCACTTTTCAGAAATATTTCAGAGAGGATTCCTCAACCAAATGGGAAATCAGACTAAATGATTTTTTAAAATTTCCTCTAAATCTAAGACTCTATAATTATATGGCCTTCTATTTCTCCATTGGGAACGATGACAACATGCTTCAAAGCATTCAGAGATTAAATACAGATATTAAAAATAAATATAAAGTCATCCTCAATTGAAGCTTCCTCCAGTGAAATAAGATGCCGCCTTCTCCCGCAGCCTCCAGACCTACCCCGGCAGCAGTGTAGAGGTCAGGGAGGTGTTGCCGCACACACGCCTCAGCCTCAGGGAGGAGGGGGTGGTCCCTCAGACTCCACAGCACCCTCTCGGGATCCACACTCGGGGAGCACTTAGTGGTGGCCGTGTATCTGTAAGACATTCATGGGAGAGGCCATGAGTAGGGTGACCATAAGCACTGATGTACAAGGAAGACTTCAAAGACGCCTTCCTTACAACAGGTGAAGCTCACCGTATGAGGTTCAGCACACACAGGTCTGACTCCTTTTCTATGCCACAGTTAGACAGGATGCCGTCCACTTTGCTGACAGCTTGCTCTTCGTTCATCAGGTATCGATGGTACAGCTTCTTCCAAGGAATGAACTATGTAGTTAAAAAACAAAATAACATGAGGCAAAGGCCATTAGAAAGCAGATTAATGAGGTAGGCAGATCACCTGAGGTCAGAAGTTCGAGACCAGCCTGGCCAACATGGCAAAGCCCTGTCTTTACTGAAAAAACAATAGAAAAATTAGCCAGGCATGGTGGCATATGCCTGTAGTCCCAGCTACTCAGGAAGCTGAGGCAGGAGAATCACTTGAACCCGGGAGGCGGAGGTTACAGTAAGCCGAGATCAAGCCACTGCAGTGCACGTTAGCCTGGGTGATAGAGTAAGACTCCATCTCAGGAAAAAAAAAAAAAAGAAAGAAAGAAAGAAAGAAAAAAAGCAGATTAAGCCACAAACATAGAGATAACCTTTTACCAGTGAAAAGCAATCACAGCTCACAATTCAAAAGCCAGGCAAATCAGCCAGAAATGGTACAGACATTTTTATTGGAAACTAGGAGAACTGGGTCTTGATCTTGGTTCTAACACTAACTTGTTATAGTTATAGAATCTGGGAAAAGCTATAGCTTCAGTTTCCCTATCTGAAACATTAGTACACATAGCTCAGAGTTTCAATGAGAACAAAATAATATGAGAGCTGTGGCTCTACCAATATCAGACAAAACAGATTGTAAGTCAATTTTGTCTGTTAAATACTGTTATAAGAGACAAAGGACATAACAAAAGGGTCAATTCACCAAGAAGGTACAATAACTATAAATATATATGCAGCAAACATTAGAGCTCCTAAATATAGGAAACAACCCCTGACAGAACCGAAGGTAGAAACAAACAGCAACACAACAACAGAAGGAGATTTCAACACCGCCATTTCAATGATGAATGGAACAACCAGACAGAAGATAAATAAGGAAACAGAGGATCTGAACAACACTATGGACTAAGTGGGCTGAACAAACATATACAGAATACTCCACCTAACAACAGCAAAATATACGTTCCTCTCAAGGACACTTGAAACATTCTCCAGGATAGATCACCCTTTAGGCCACCAAACAAGTTTCAACAAACTTAAAAACCACTGAAGTTATTATACAAAGTATCTTTTTAAATCACAATGGAATGTAACCAGAAATCAACAGCAGAAGGAAAACTGAAAAACCCACAAATACATGGAAATTAAACAACATACTCTTGGCCAGGCACGGTGGTTTATGCCTATAATCCCTGCACTTTGGGAGGCTAAGACAGGCGAATCACTTGAGGCCAGGAGTTTGAGACCATCCTGGACTACAAGGTGAAACCCCATCTCTCCTAAAAATACAAAAGTTAGCCGCGCATGGTGGCGCGTGTCTGTAATCCCAGCTGCTTGGGAGGCTGAGGCACAAGAATCACTTGAACTCAGGAGGTGGAGATTGAAGTGAGCCAAAATCAAGCCACTGCACTCCAGCCTGGGTGACAGAGACTCTGTCTCAAAACAAAACAGAAACAAACAAACAAAAAACCATATTCTTAAAACAACCAATGGGTCAAAGAAGAAATCACAAAGAAAATTAGAAAATATCTTGAGACAAATGAAAATGAAAACATAACATAGCAAAACTTATGAAACGCAATGAATGCTGTTGTGCTGTTTTAAGAGAGCGGTTTATAGCTATAAATGCTTACATTAAAACAAACAAACAAACAAACAAAAACGGGCTGGACGTAGTGGCTCACGCCTGTAATCCCAGCAGTTGGGAGGCTGATGGCAGGCAGATCACTTGAAGTTAGGAGTTTCAGAGACCAGCCTGGCCAACGTGGTAAAACCCCGTCTCTACTGAAAATACAAAAATTAGCCAGGTGTGGTGGTGCACACCTGTAATCCCAGCTGCTGGGGAGGCTGAGGCAGGAGAATCACTTGAACCCAGAAGGCAGAGGTTGCAGTGAGTCGAGATCGTGCCACTGCCCTTCAGCCTGGGCGACAGCAGGAAACTCTGTCTCAAAAAAAAAAAAGAAAAACACGAAGTCAAGGGAGATATGAGGAAGGAACCCTCAAGGTGGGCGGCGTGGGAGGATGAGAGCAACCCAGGGAGGGGAAGGAATGTGCAGTCTGTGGTCAGGACACAGCAGATGAGCTGTAGATGGAACCCAGGGAAGCCGTGTTGAGTGGAAGTGAGCAAAGAGGCTGGAGTCATAGGGTGGGGCAGACACGGAAGGCCTTAAATGCCTCTAAGGAGTTTGAATGTCTTCTGAAGGCAAATGGAAACCATTTCTGAAAAGATCCTCTGATTAGAAGCATACATTAAGCAAAGTTACATGCTTTTAGAGGAAACATCTCCCAACTCCAGCACTCACTCACCAGAGGGTCACTGATGATCTCCCTCCACAGGTGGCACACCAAGCTCAGGTTCCAATAGAGGTCTTCCACCGGGAGGAAGGCAAACACGTGCCTCAGGACCTCACTAGGCAGGCTACAAATGTGGCTTGGTGCTTCCTGGCAGGGCAAGGTCCCAAGAAGCCCATAGTATGAGTCAGGAATGGGATCAAGACCCATGTCCCCAGCATCTTGGTCGGTTTCTCCAGACTCCTCAGAGAGTCGAGACGTACTGTCCTCTGCTTCTTGCCTGGCCTCCCTAGGCCTTGTGCATGGCACAATCAAATGGTGCCGCGGAGCTTTCTTAGAAACTCCATCCCACCGGCTGGTTCCGGTAGCCTGGTTACTCTCTTCCTCAGAGGACCGAGACCGCTTCCTGGAGGGCGGGGCAGACCCTGATGAGCCCAGCCATGCTTCTCCACTGCCTTCCTGAGGCAGTGCACAGCTGCTCTCTGCAGGAAAGATCATGTCACCCTCAGAGTCCTGACAGCTGTCCTGGCCAACAGAATTGCTTTTGGCCATGTCATTGGTGCACGGCCGCTTGCCTGCTAGGAAGAACTCAGGGATACATCTTTGACGTCCCTGACCTGTAGAGATAACCCAAACAGGATGGACAAGAAATGAACGATGACTGTTGACCTGCTATTAACCCAAGTAAGACACACTAATTTTCAATTATCTATGTTAACAGAGGAAAGAGATAAAAACACATGTATGGGCCAGCTGATTATATAAATAACTAATTCAAACGATATTTATATTTGGCTGTATCATATAACCAGACACACATTTGCAAAGAGACAGAGACCAGTCTTCGCATGGTGTGATGGCCAACAATACTCCCTGCAGTAAATACAAGTACAGAGAAACAGGCTACGCAGGGAACATCTGAATGTACAGACAAAAAGGAGGTGACTGCTCACAACCACACCACCACTCACAAAGTGCCCCGCTCCCACTCACAACAGAAAGCCTACATGTGCTTAAGCAGAAATTCACATGCTTGGGGTTATCAGGATTCTGAAAATCTCACTCTTCTCATTTGACAGTGCTAAAACTTTTATTTTTATTTCTTTTTTATTTATGTATTTATTTATTTTTGAGATGGAGTCTCGCTCTGTTGCCCAGGCTGGAGTGCAGTGGCATGATCTTGGCTCACTGCAACCTCCACCTCCCAGGTTCAATCTATTCTCCTGCCTCAGCCTCCCAAGTAGCTGGGACTATAGGCGTATGCCACCATGCCTGGCTAATTTTTGTATTTTAGTAGAGATGGAGTTTTGCCGTGTTGGCCAGGCTGGCCTAGAATTCCTGACCTCAAGTAACCCACTCGCCTCGGCCTCCCAAAGTGCTGGGATTACAGGTGTGAGCCACTGTGCCCAGCTTTTATTCATATTTCTTCCTGTGAAGGTGACACATTAATTTATTTTAAAATAAAAAGGCAGGACTCAGAATTCTCTTTATAGTATTAGAATGGTACCTAATCTCTTCTACATGTTTGTTCAGTGAGCATTTACTAAGCACCAATGATTCTGAGACAAATGTAAAGTGAAAAATGGTTACATTTCCTGACCTCACAGGTTTTTCAGGAACATAGGGAAGCCTAAATGGTGATTTCATACATCCCACAGCATTTTCCAACTCATAAAAATAATTTTTAAATGCCAAAGAAGTAAACACCTTATCAATAATACATAGTTCCTTTCTAAATGGCTGTAACCAAAATACTCACTTTGGAAGAGAATGGACTGAAACTTGGTTTAGCCTTGAACAAAATTTATGAAACTGAAACAGATATTTTTCTATATTAGTAAAAAATATATATATATGTGTAAAACTGTTAACTCTTTCTTGGGCAATTTGATAGAAACCCAGAGTTTTCACATCACTATTACTACAGGTTAAATCCATATGATCAGGGTTAAATCCTAAAAATTTCTTTTTTAAAAAATATCATTATTATTATTTTAAATAGAGACGGGGTCTCACCATGTTGCCCAGGCTGATCTGGCACTTCTGGGCTCAAGCAATTCTCCCACTTCAACCTCCCAAAGTACTGGGATTACAAATAAGGCATGAGCTACTGCTCCCAGCCAAATCCTGGTATCTTCCAATTGTTGAATCCAGTCACACCCACAGTCATTGAGACCTTACCACCTGCTCAGGGCCACCTCACAAGTCCTTGTCAGTAAAGAACTCAAAATAGAGAAGAAACAGACTTCTGTATATGGAACAAACTCAGTATCAAACAGGATATAAGTAAGTTTCAAACTGCCTCACAGAGTTGGTTATAGTAGCTCCCACAGCAGGAAACATACAATAGTTAAAGACAACCAGGCTGGGAGAGGTGGCTCGCACCTGTAATCCTGGCAGTTTGAGAGGCGGAAGCAGGTGGGTCTCTTGAGCCCAGGAGTTTGAGACCAGCCTGGGCAACATAGCAAAACCCTGTCTCTACAAAAAAAAAAAATACAAAAATTAGCTGGGCATGGTGGCACGTGCCTGTAAGTCCCAGCTACTTGGGAGGCTGAGGTGACAGGCAGAGGCTGCAGTGAGCTGAAAAGGTGCCACTGCACTCCTGGATGACAGAGCAAGACCCTGCCTCAAAAAAAAAAAAAAAAAAAAAAAGGACAACCAGATAATATTTGAGTTGGATTCTGAAATTAGTTGTATCAAAGGGAAATAAGGCAATCTAGATTTATTAACTAAAGTGGGAATTCATTTGGTACCTAGGGGGGACATTCCAGTTGATTCAGCAGAGATAAAACCTGAAGTCAAGGAGCAGGGTTACTGTAGTAGTCCAGGTACTAGGTGACAAAGAGCTCAGGATGAAGGAACATTTTGGAGGAAAAATAATGACACATGGACCTAGTGACAGATTGGACAGAGAAGATGAACAAAGAGTCAACTAATCTCAATGTTTCTGGATTGGAATAGGAGTGACACTGGCCCATGTCTTCTATCACTTTACACAAGCTAATAGGATTCATTCCATCACACTTTTCCGGAGCTTTTAGGAACTATGATAATAGGACAGAATTTTCATGGAAAACTCAGCGGGGTGCGGTGGCTCACGCCTATAATCCCAGTACTTTGAGAGGCCGAGGCGGATGGATCACCTGAGGTCAGGAGTTCGAGACCAGCCTGACCAACATGGAGAAACCCCGTCTCTACTAAAAAAAAACAAAATTAGCTGGGGATGGTGGCATGCACCTGTAATCCCAGCTACTCAGGAGGCTGAGGCAGGAGAATCACTTGAACCCAGGAGGCAGAGGTTGCAGTGAGTTGAGATTGCACCATTGCACTCCAGCCTGGGCAACAAGAGTGAAACTCTGTCTCAAAAAAAAAAAAAAAAAAAAATTTTTTTTTCATGGAAAAGTCACAAATAATAAAGTGTCAAGCTATTGCATCAAGACTACAAAGTCACAGCAGCAACATTTATAAATACTTTTAAACTAGGAGATATTCAAAGGACCCACACACTACAGGTTTTGAAATGCAAGAGTTTTGGAGGAGACATACCCCTACTCCCTCTTTTTGTTCTGGGTTTAGGATAGAGACCATGGTTCGGATCTCTGTTTGTCCATCTCTGACCGAAGGGCTGGGTCACAGCCAAGTGACTCCGAGCCAAATGCTGGCAGTCGATGGCAGTAAGATGCTTCCGCTTAAACCGTCTCACTGTTTCATACCAGCAGGTAGAAGAAAGGGGATATTCATTAGTTATCGCAGATTCTACAAGCTAGCCAACACATTATACTCATGTTTCTGTATAGTGACACAATTTTGTCAACACCCCAGCCAACCCTTCCCCCTTCCCCTTGCCCACCAACTTTGTCCTTTCCGTTTCTTAGCGTTTTTCTTTCTTAGAATTGAAGAATCCTAAGTGACATTTTAAGATCTTAAGATTTTTTTTTCTACTTACACTTTCTAGAAGCTTTGGTCATGAAATGCTCATTTAAGAAAAAGTTGTGGCTGGGTGCACTGGCTCACGCCTGTAATCCCAGAACTTTGGGAGGCGGAGGTGGGTGGATCACTTGAGGCCAGGAGTTGGAGATCGGCCTGGCCAACGTGGCAAAACCCTCTCTCTACTAAAAATACAAAAATTAGCTGGGCCTTGTGGTGCAGGCCTGCAATGCTAGCTACTCAGGAGGCTGAGGCGAAACAGTAGCTTGAACCCAAGAGGTGGACGTTGCAGTGAGCCAAGATCGCACTACTGCACTGCAATCTGGGCAACACAGCAAAAAAAGAAGTTGTCATTAGTGGATATACTGAGGTTTGGCATCTTTTCCTTAACTTTATCCAGGCCATTTATATTTTTTTTATAATAATCAAAAGTATTTAAGAATAGGCTATTTTTTTTAATAACAAAAAACTTTTATAACTTTTTTTGTTAAATTGTTAAAATTTTTTAATTATAGTAAAAAGCACATAACATGAAAAGCACATAACTAGAAGCAAAACATCGTGATAATACAGGCTGCAATTTCCCTGAGAGAAGGACCAAAGGGCACACATCTCTCAGCCCCCCCGAGCACCTCAGTATTGAGAACAGACTTGAAAGGACAACAGCGACTCCCCCAGCCCCAAATGCAAGAGAAGCCAATTCCTTTTCAGGACCTTTAGAGGAGAAAACTTCGTATCTTCCCTTAGCAAAACACTACAGCAGCAATTAAGCCTAGAATTTTGTTTCAACGGTTCTGAAATACTTGGTTTTGTAGTACTCATCTTCTTTCAGGTAATTCTTGTCCATGTGTAACCAAGATTCTCCATGCTTCTGCATCTGTTCCTGCATGTGGCATTAAACATGCAGTAACAGATGCAGAAGCCTCCTTATGGCATTAAACACTAAAATATAAAGATGTACTTCTTAAAAATAAAAAGTAGGCCAGGTGCAGTGGCTCATGCCTGTAAGCCCAGCACTTTGAGAGGCCAAGGCAGGTGGTTCACTTGAGGTCTAGAGTTCACGACCAGACTGGCAACACGGTGAAACCCCATCTCTACTAATAATATAAAGATCAGCCAGGTGTGGTGGCAGGCACCTGTAACCCCAGCTGTTCAGGAGGCTGAGGCCCAAGAATCACTTGAACCCGGGAGGTGGAGGTTGCAGTGACCCAAGATTGTGCCATTGCACTCCAGCCTGGACAACAGAGTAAAACTCTATCACAAAAAAAAAAAAAAAAAAAAAAAAGAATTAAAGTTAGCCTTTATAGGAGATGGTCAAAAGAGAATAAAATCAGGTTCTATCGGTATCATATTTTCACAGGTCCTAAAAATACTCCACTAGGCTGGGCACAGTGTCTCACACCTGTAATTCCAGCACTTTGGGAGGCTGAGGCGGGTGGATCACGTGACGTCAGGAGTTCAAGACCAGCCTGGCCAACATAGTGAAACCCCGTCTCTATTAAAAATAGAAAAAATTAGCTGGGCATGGTGGCATGCGCCCAGGAGGCTGAGGCAGGAGAATCGCTTGAACGCGGAAGGCAGAGGTTGCAGTGAGCCGAGGTCATGCCATTGCACTCCAGCCAGGGCAACAAGAGCGAAACTCCGTTTCAAAAAAAAAAGAATACTCCACCACTAAACTATGGTATCAAATGCCAGAATCTCACTCAACATTTCTTTTCTTTCTTCTTTTTTTGAAACCGAGTCTCCCTCTGTTGCTTAGGCTAGAATGCGGTGACACAATCTTGGCTCACTGCAACCTTCACCTCTTAAGTTCAAGCGATCTTCTTGCCCCGGCCTCCCAAGTAGCTGGGACTACAGGCCCCCGCCACCACACCCAGCTAACTTTTGTATCTTTAGTAGAGACAGGGTTTTACCATGTTGGCCAGGCTGGTCTCAAACTCCTGGCCTCAAGTGATCCGCCCACCTTGGCCTCCCAAAGTACTAGGATTACAGATGTGAGCCACTGTGCCCAGCTCAACATTTCCTTTAAGCTTGAAAATACATAAAACCAAGACCCCAGTGAGTTTAGTTGATACCGTTTACAATATTTTCTCATTATTCCTCCCTAGCTAATTCAGAAATCACACTTCCAAATTTCAGTTAACTTTTTCAAGGTTTAATAGCAGCTTTTTAAAAAAAACTTCATATTTTAAGACTTTTCCAAAATCAATTCAACACACAAAACCAGTTCTGCGAGCCCCTCGGAAAGGATGCTGGAGATCTTCTAACCACCTGACCTTAGAAGCTGGGTGCAACTCCACGAGTGTCAGGCCCCAGCACGCACAAATGCGCTCACTCTCACGAAGCAGCACAGCACAGCGCGGTGAGTGGGCGGAGGGCCTGGCAAGAGAGCTGGGCTGGTGCCCTCAGCTGGCCACTTGGTAGCTCTATGGCTTCAGGGCACTTCAGGTCTCTAAGTCTGATAGGTCTACGGCCATCCCACCCTGAACGTGCATGATCTCGTCTAAGTCTGAGAGGTGTCACCAGGAACAGATGAGAAAAAATGCTCAAAACTGTCTGTCAAATTATCCAACTGCAGGCACACAAACTTACCTGTTCCCTCTATTTAACGAGGTTTATGTGAGTAGCTTGCATAAGACGTTGAAGTATCTTTCAAATTATAAAGATGCCGCCTAATGGCAAAGCAGGAAGTGTACTAGCAGCCCAATTACAGCCAATTCTGTATTACTGGAAACACCCTTCTAAACTAACCAGTAACATGGCTCGCTTATTATGGACAGAAAACCAAACACCCCTCCACTTTGATGGTTTTGTGCTGGTTTGTGCTGGTTCTGTAATGTTGCTGACCAGTTTATCTAGAGTAAAACAACAGCACATCGTCTTATTCACACAGTAACAAACTATGAATGTAAAGTGTTTCTACATTAAAAACCAAATTTGAAGTTTTCTACATTGGAAAGAAAACATAAAGTCTTATTGTTCTCTTTTTAAAAAATAAGACATGAAATTTTATTTCCTCTGTTCAAAACCCTTCGTATTACAAATATATCCCAAGGACTATTTTGCCTGAATGGGGACCTTTGGGCATATCGGCAAAAGAAATACGGGACAGCAGCAACATGGCTTCTAGAACACCCGAAAATCCTGGGTGAGGTGTCCCGCACACGGCTCAACAGCAGGAGTGGCTGCAGGATTCCCAGCAGCAAATCCACAGGCCCTACAGATCCAAGAGACTGGACTCATGCCTGCTTTTCTCTCTCCTCAAACAGTCCCAATTGCTTCAGAGCTGGTCAGTACAGTATCTATAATTAGAACTGGAGACACTATGTGTCCTGCTGAAGGGTAAGGAAAAAAGGAAAAAATAAAATAAAATAAATAACTGGAGACACTCACTAAAGAAAGTTACCAATAGTGAATATCTCACTTAAATAGGAGGTGAACATCTACTGCCAAACTGGCCTGCAGAGGAAAAGCTTTCATGGATAAAATCATGAAGGAAAAAAAAAAAATCACAAAGCAGCAAGATCAACGTCAAACCACTCAAATCTGAGACCCGGGACCTCAGGCCAGCTGCAGGCCTGCTTAGCTGAATGGTGTGTCAGGTCCCAGAAGGCTTCTGAAAGTCAATGAAAAGGCACATAACCAGCGAGAAAATTAGGCTCAGTTGAAGGGTCTGACGCCCACCCAAATCTATGACGGCCTTCTACACTTGGCTTTTGGAAATAGCTACAAACAGAGGCTGGCAGATTTGTATAGAAGAGGTACTTACACATGCAGGGTGAACCCTGGAACGTTTTTCGTGAAGTATGTAAGAATGGCTTTATTGAAGCCTTCTGCAGCCACCTCACTGTAACAACAGTGCATTGATAATGACCATCAACTATATGGAGATGTCTCAATCAAATGCCTGAGAGTCAAAAAGACAGTACGCATGCCCCAAGGTAAGCAGCTAGCCCACCTTGTTCACTGCCGTAACTCTGTATGTAGACAGCGTGGAGCCAGACACATAGTCTGTGCCATGGATTCAATGTTCATGTTCCTGAAAATCCACACACTGAAATCCTCACCCCCAAGGTGATGGCATGAAGAGGTGGGGCTCTGGGCCAGGCATGGTGGCTCACGCCTGTAATCCCAGCACTTTGAGAGGCCAAGGCAGGTGGATCACTTGAGGTCTAGAGTTCAAGACCAGCCTGGCAACACGGTGAAACCCCATCTTTACTAAAAATATAAAAATTAGCCAGGTGTGGTGGCAGGCACCTGTAACCCCAGCTACTCAGGAGGCTGAGGCCCCAGAATCACTTGAACCTGGGAGGTGGAGGCTGCAGTGACCCAAGATTGTGCCACTGCACTCCAGCCTGGGCAATGGAGAGAGACTGTGTCTCAAAAAAAAAAAAAAAAAAAGTGGGATTCTAGGAAGTGATAAGGTCACGAGGGTGAAGTCCCCACAAACGGGATTAGTGCCCTTATAAGCGAGGTCCCAGAGAGCTCCCTTACTCCTGCCAACATATGAGGACACAAAGAGAAGGTGCCGTCTATGAACCAGGAAGCGGCCCTCACCAGACACCAAATCTGCTGGCACCTTGATCTTGGACTTCCAGCCTCCACATCTGGGAGAGACAGACTTCTGCTTATAAGCGGCCCAGTTATGGTATTTTGTTATACCAGCCCGAATGGACTGAGGCAGCACACGTTCTGTGAATACTGAGTGGGTCAAGGAGGGTGAGGAGCAGGGAGAAGAGTTCAGCTGGGAGGTCCAGGAGCCTATACTCTAATCCCTAGGCATATATTGTAGAACTGCTCCCACAACAGACTGATGACAGAACATCAAAAATGTTCAGTCCCAAAAGGAACTGCTTTGGAAAAGGTAATATGAACATGATAGATTTTTATTTATGTATTTATCTCAGAAAATACATCTGAATCCAAAATGCTTGTTGCAAAGATTGTTTGCAAAAATCCAACAAAGACACAGGAGTAACAGAAAGCGCTAATGGGAGCATTGGAACACTGTGTTCTGCTTCGAGGGAGTTCCAGTATATTCCAGTATGTTCTGGCATGAAGCCACCCTGGGAGGAGTTAAGGTTCAGCCCTGGGGGAGGGGCGCTTAGACTGGCGATCTGGCTCTGTGCACTAAGACGAGTAACCTATATCACATATCTGGAATGGCGTTACCAGCCATAGCTTGGCTGGGGGAAGAGTTGGTACTTTTATTGGATTTTTATTAACACTTTTATTGGATCCCCCACCCCTTGGACTTATTGGATATATGTATCAAAAATCACTTTACTGACGTCAGCTGGAGGTCAGGAAAACTAAACTGTATCTCTGGTCTCAGAGACAGATGCTGTGATGCCCTGAACTGGGAGTCAGGAGCCCTGTGTCCACCTCCTGCGCAAGAGCCCTGTGTCCACCTCCTCTGCAATTGCAGGCATTACACTTAATGTTCCCTTAAAGCCCCTCCAAGGCTGTGGGGTGCAGGAGAAGACCCACACTTGGCAGGTATATTCATCGCCAAAGCCTTGCTTATGAAAATGAGGATTATAATAACCTGCCACGCTGAATTCAGAGAATGAGACAATATATATGTAAGTACTCGAGCCACTCACATTGAGGGTGACAACACCTACCTCTAAATCTATGTCAACACCTAGCAACAGAAGCATCAGAAGAACTGTGTGACTACCACACCAATCTGAGTGTCTCCTAAAAGGCACATCAGTTTTGTTTTAACAGCATTAATGTTCTTGCTAAATTGTTAAAAATAAAACCAAAACACTACACTGGAATTCTAATCACCCTTCTATTCTGTTCTTCCTAATATACCTTTTTAAAAAGCAGTTCAAAAATAATTTTATCAAAATAAAGATGCTCAAATGCTACTTCTTCCATAAAAATCCTCCTTCCCTGAGTCACCCAAAGCTCATGGTATGCCTCCCTCCCTACATAGCAAGTGCACTTTACACCTCCCATAAAGGGCATTTACTGTTAGAAGCTGCTTGTGATTCTTTAGGGAGTGAAGTTATCTGTTGTGAACAACCACAGATAAAGGGAAGCTGTGTCTAAACTAGGGGTTCTTGTGGGTGCAGAGAGATTAGAATCACTTATGGGGCTTTGCAAACTCTACAAGGCCCCCAGAGTTGTTGAAATTGGTCTCCCACACACCAAATTGGGCATCTGTGCCCCCACCCTTGGACACTGTCTTCCACAATTACCAACAGAAACGTGTTAGAGCCCTCAGGTGTCACGGCAGAAAAACCAGAACATACACAAACCATTTTGTCAAATGAATATTCCCCAGGCTTAAGTAAGCTCATTCCCACACTGCCTTTTCTGAGACGGCTTTCTAACTGTGTGACTTCTCTGTCCTCCATCCCAGGGGTCCCCATTCTAGGACCCACCTCTTTGCTAACCCTCAGCTTTTAGCCCTACCTCAGCAATTCCTGGCCTTTGCTGACTTCGAAGTGGTCAGATGTGGAGTTTAGCCCTCCACCACCCCTCAAATCTCTTCACCTTGATGACAGCCTATCCCCTTCCAGCCCACGCTGACCCACTCCACGCCCTGGTGAGGTCCCCGATGGAGAGGAGACCCTTATCAGTCTCCCCTGAATGAGTCCTTACAAGAACTCTACTACTGGGAACTGAAAGGAAGGAACCACGTCTATCCCCTCATCCCTCTAAGTGCACAAGCGGGAAACAAGAGACACTCCCGCACTCACGGAACGAGAACTGCGTGTCTGCCACTCCTCTCCTATGCTTTCGTTTGCCTGCCTTCTTTTTTTAATCTTCTTTATTGAAAACAACTTACAAAACAAGTCACAGAAAGTGAAACTGAGTGTTTCAGGTTTTGCTGCAAAGCATGTTGTTGCTCTTCTCCCTGAGCACACAGCCAGGCCATACTTCCCCGTCCTGTGTGCAGGTGGACGCTGCCTTACCGCCGGCTGCCAGCCAATGCAGTGGGAACAGCAGCAGTGCACACCTCTTCCAGACCTGCCCTTCACTCTTCTCCTCTTCCTCTTAACTGGGAAGCTGATTCCCAGGACATCCTTAGAAGCCGGGTGTTCGAAATAGAAGAGCCTCCAGCAGCCTCAATCCTCAGACTACTGCTTTAAAGAGAACCCTCCCCACACCTACACACACAAACTCCAACCACCACCATGACCTGCAGCCTCCTTAGATTGCTATGGGATTGAAAAATAAACTTCTACTGTGAGGCCATTACATGTCTGGATCTATTTGTTAATGCAGCAAAGCTTACCCTAACCATTCAGGATCATTTGAAATGGATACCAAATAATTTCCTTTCTTCCCCTACCTTTACTAGTCAGCATTCATACCAAAAGGTCCTTTAAAACTTATAGATTACAGACCTAAATGGACAAGATGAAGACAATAAGTACTTAGAATTCCTGGAAGGAAAAAATTGTTATTAAATAATTGCTTTAAAAAAAAATCAATTTGACTCTCTAGTACAAGATATCTGACTGGAGAAACTGCTATAATACCATACCCAACTTTAACAAATATCCACAGAGGGCAGTGTTGCCCTCTGGACAATTTCGGAGTCAGCTAACCACCCTGGTCAGTTTCCCACACGCCTCTTACTTTCAGGGTGCTCCGTGAAGATCAGCAAGTGGGCACTTGTCCTCTGGCATCTCCTGTGGAGATGGCCCAGGGGTCCTGCAATGTGGCCCATTATCACAATGACTCAGGCACTCCACAGGTCCAATGGCAGCCTGTGAAATGGGAATGGCCCAGTTTCAACAGTTAACTGTGTTATCTCTCAACTCCAGCACCATAAAAGTATTCACTCAAGGCAGGAAGCACTTCGCAGGAATAAAACCACCCCACACATCCGAGATACTTGTAACAATTCTTTGGCTAAGTGTGCATTTAACATGTCTTATACAAATTATTGTTTTAATATAATTGCGATGTATTACATTTTATATTAGTAACAATTATTTGTATAAGTCTGTATTTAATACATCTTCCATCCCAGACTAAAAGCTCTCTGTTCTAGTGGGAAGGAGTACAGAGGTACTTACACCCAGCATGCAACATACATTGCTTCATAAATAATTGCTGATTAAACGAATAAATGCACAGCTGCAGCACTTCTTCTACAGTGTAGGCTGTCTTCCTTGGTTTTGAAGCTCTCCACTATCCAATAGCTCCTAAGTGCTTTACAGCTTTTGCAGTTCTTTCCTATATTCTCATTTGAGCCTCAAAGCAATCCTATAATTGTGCCATGATTAAACTGGGGCTCCGGGAGGACTCGCCTGAATTCATCTCGTAGCTCATGAGTGACGGCGCCAATGCAAGAACCCGGGTCTCCTGACTCCCCTAGTCCAGTGCACTTCCTACGGTGATATTCTTTTCTCTGCATCTAGAAACCTTGAAAGCAGCTTCTGAAAACCTCAAGTTTAAGTTCCATATTACATTTTTAAAAAAATCATTGTGAAATGTCAGAACCAAAGAAATTGAAAAGTATTTGGAAAACATAACTATAAGGAAAATACCACTAAATGCCATAGACCTGAAATGGAAAAACTTCAAAATATTGTGTCCCCATTAGCTCTAAAAGAAACAAATACAGAAAGCAAGCAAAATAGAGCTCCAGCTCCTTTCCCGGGTATTCACTGACGCACAGCCAGGCTACCACAGTCTGCTTCTCCAGAAATCCACAAGTTCCCAGGTAGTAAGCTCAATCTCCCCGGGATCCTCTCACATCTGAGACACCTATGACTCCCTTGGAGACAGCACTCGTGTATGACAGCCAACAAGGATGGGCGGGGCTTTCCAGTCTATGTTTTTCCTAAGGAAAGGAAGGAATGTGTGAAAAACATGAGAAAGATCACTACTTATGGTCTAGAATATAATTTTATATATTTGAAGGGTTTTTTCTACAATCAATTCATTCCACAACTACTTTTACGTATCTGCTATGTCTCAGATTCATTATAAACTCTGTGAGGGCTTTGTCTTGTGGTATCCTTGGTGTTAAATGCTATTTTAGACATTAGTGATACAAAACTGAATAAGCCTACCCATAAGGCGGCTACCAAAACAAACACAAGTTACTAAACATCAAGCAATATAACAACCACATAAATGCATGCATGAAGTGTTGTGATAGTAAAGAAACGTAAACAGAGTTAGGCAAGTTGAAAAAGGCTTTATGAAGAGTTGAGCCTTGAAAGAATTGTGGGATTCAGTAAGGCGGAAGAAAACAATGTGTGCAAAAATACAGAGGCATGTGGCAGGAAAGCTGGGCTTCATCAAAACAAGAGGTTCCCTGATGAGGAATGACAGGAGACAAGGCTGGAAAAGGAATTTGGAGCCACAGACTACAAAAGTCCTTACACATAATGATAAAGAAACTGGGCTTCAAAAAAAGAAATTGGACTTTATCCGGTAGGAGCTTCAAGATATCATCCAATTATTATTATTATTATTATTATTATTTTTGAGACGGAGGCTCACTCTGTCTGTGGTCCAGGCTGGGGTGCAGTGGCACAATCTCCACTCACTGCAACCTCTGCCTCTCAGGTTAAAGTGATTCTCCTGCTTCAGCCTCCCCAGTAGCTGCAACTACAGGTGCACGCCGCCACACCCAGCTAATTTTTTGTATTTTAGTAGTAGAGATAGGGTTTCACCGCGTTGCCCAGGCTGGTCTAGAACTCCTGAGCTCAGGGATTCCACCCGCCTTGGCCTCCCAAAGTGGTAGGATTACAGGCATCAGCCACCACACCTGGCCTCATCCAATTTTTAAAGCAGGGTCATTACACAATCAAATTTACACTTTAGGGCAGTGACTCGGGAAAGAGGATAGAAGGTGGAGAGACATGGAGATTGTCAGGAAAACAAGTCAGAAAGCCCCCATACCAACCTATATGAGAGCTGGCAAAGGCCTGAGAGCAGCAGACCCTGGGCAGAGGACAGGTGAGTAAGAGCATAGCTTTGTTTGACAAGACTGAAAGAGAAACATAAAAGATAAAAAGCAACAAGGATAACTGGCATTTCTAGTAGAATGTTAAAAAAGATGTTAATGTCATTAACCATGTTAAGGAATAAAAGACAAACAGTGTTTGTGTTTTAATCACTTTTTCCCCCCGGAGTGAGAGGGAGGCCGAAAGTCCCAGTTTTAAAAATAATTTTTTAAGTTATCTGTGGAATACCATGTTTATGCTCCAGGAGGTCCTCTGAAATCTGAGACTGGTCTTCAAAAGGCATGTGAATGACAGTTACAGATATAAGATTTGAGATGCTTTCTAAAAGTAGGTAATTTCACAGCCAGAAAGGCAAAGACAGAATCCAAATTCAGTTTCCAAATAAAATCAGCCTACGAGGGATAGAGGAATGAGACAAGCAGAGAAACGATGATGGCAACAAACCCAAAATTGGAATTCTAAATCTAATACCAATAGTGGTGTCCACACACACTCACAAATCAGGAAACCTGTCAAATGATCAGTGTACCGATGGGCATGCTGAATAGCATACTCATGAAAAAGAACAGGAGGAAAAGGAAAGCGAGCCAGGGAGCAAGTCAGTGCCAATGACCATTATGTGTGTTGTGACAGTAAAGGCCAGACCACAACCTCCAAAAGCCTGCACAAAAGAAATGAGCAGCCCAACTGGAAAACAGCAAGACCCAGGAAACAGCTCCATCCATTAGCTTACTGTTCAGATCCCACCCCTCTAGACCAAGCTTTTGCCCCAGAAAATTACAGGAGTTGCGGGACAGATTCACATACATTATCATTTAGTTATCCAAAGGGGGATACAGACCAAAATAAGTTCATAGAGAAGACAGAAGAGGCAAACTGAATGTGCAACACCAATGAAGTAACCAATTATCCTGGGTTCAAATATTCCAACCTAGCCAGGCATGGTGGCTCACATCTGTAATCCCAGCATTTGGGAGACTGAGCTGGGTGAATCACTTGAGGCCAGGAGTTTAAAGACCAGCCTGGCCAACATGGTGAAACCCCGTCTCTACTAAAAATACAAAAAAATACAAAAAAATCAGCCAAGCATGGTGGCACACGCCTGTAATCTCAGCTACTTGGGAGGTTAAGGCAGGAGAATCACTTGAACCCAGGAGGCAGAGGTTGCAGTAAGCCGAGATCGTGTCACTGCACTCTAGCATGAGCAACAGAGCAAGACTCTGTCTCAAAAATATATATATATTCCAACCTATTGTGAACCCATGTATCTCAACTATGTTTAAAAAACAGGGAAACTAGAGACGTAATGCAAGAGAAGATAGAGTCATCTGAAACTAGGAGGGTGGTGGGGGTAAAAGCAAAAAGTATGAAACTACCAGATGCCTCAACTTCCAATTTGCACTAACTTCAACGGCAGCAGTCAGAACCTTGCTTGGCACGCCCTACACTTTTGTGCATTTCAAACAACTTTTATGCCTTTTTCTTTTTTTATTTTTTTTTTATTTTTTTGAGTGACAAGGCACGATAGAACAATAACCTCAGCAAAGCTGACACTTGGACTAGTTCTGTCTCCAGCGGCTTATCCGCATCACTGTTACCTTAACGAAACTCAATCTGCTCAGGAGTAAAACGGACTTATCTTCATGGGCCCATTCCAGAAGTCTTTTCATTTATCTCCGCTCATTTTACCACAGGGGCAGACGCTGACGGACGCTCACCACATGCTACCATCCTGCTTTCCAGAAGACTTTATCACCTGTAATTCTGTAAGAAAGTCACTGACTTCCTTAGGCCTCCACTTCCCCACCTGTAAAACCCTACTGATGCCTTACAGGGTTGTCTTTGGACCACAAAGTGCAATAAAAAATGTAAATGGTACTCGTTTTTAGGCCTGGCAAATAGGAGCGACTCCCATTCTACTCCCTAAAGGAATTGAAAACACGGAGAGGTTAAGTGACTGGCACCTAATCAGATCGGGTAAGGAACCCAATACCTACTGATCTCTTCCATCACCCACAGCCTACCCAGCTCTCGCCGTGCCCTCCACCAGCGCCAGACCTCCCATATCGCCTTAGGCTTCCCATGCTCAGGTGAGGGACAGAGAGGCTACCGATGACACAGGGGCAGAGGGCAGCGAAAAATGACTTGCCCAAGGTCAAAACGTCACAGTAGACGGGAAAGCTGGCCTGCCAGCAGCCGAGGCCACGTCCTCGCGCGTGCCCCTCCAGCCCCGAGGACCCACACGCTGAGCCTTCTTGGCCTTGGGGGGCAGCGCGGGGGCCGCTCCCGAACGAGCTCAGTGAGCGCCCTGGCCTCCCCCACGCACCCCCGCCGTGCCCTCCACCTGCCCACGGCCCGGGTGGCAGAGCCCCCACGCCCGCGCTTGCCCGAGCCCAGCCTCGCGCCCCCCGGACCCCCGCTGCCCCACCCCGGGCCCGGACCCCCAGCGCAGGACACCGAAGGTTAAGTTTTCCACACGGCGGAGCCCCTCCCACACTCCCTGCCACGTCTGCTGCCTCACGCACTGTGGCGCTCCGGACCCGGGCCCCGCCGCCGCCGCCGCCGCCGGGCCCGCGCCGCCGGCCGCCCAGCCCAGCGTCCCCCAGCAGCTAGCTCCTCCTCTGGCCGGGACCTGGAACCCGAGACGCCCGCCGACTTCCTCCGCGAGCTCCGCCCCGCCGCAGTCCCGGGAAGCGCCCGCCGCCGGAGCCAGACAGACGGCCATTGTGACCAATCGGGACACGAGACCGGAGGGGGCGTGCTGACAGACGGCCCCTAAGGCCAATCGAAATGCGCAATCGATGGGGGCGCGGCCACTGCTACCGGGCCACGCCCCATCTGCGCTTCCGCTCGGGCCGGGGCGGAGCGGGGAAACTTTCCCAGAGTTCCTTCGAGCTGCCTGGGTTCCCGCGGAGTCGCGGCTGTCGAAGGGCGGGGACTGGGGCGGAGCGCAGGAACGGCGGTCCCCAGTGGCTGGAGGCTAGGGCGGCCCTGAGGACGCGCGTGGGGCAGGTCACGCTTGGCCCGGCTGCCTCAGGAGCCACCCTGCCCGGCGCGGGGCGAGGCTGTGCGCGCCTTGCCGGACCCTCCGCTTCGGGTCTTTGCGGTGTAACGGCGCGTCCCACTCCTTCACGTGTTCAGTCCTGAATCGGCCCCGGCAGCTCCAGGACGGCGGACTCGAGTACTCTCGGATCCCCAGGCCCCTCCGCGCTCACCCCGGACCGCCCCGTCCCTGAAGAAAAACCGCCCGGTGCCCGGGACCGCGGCTTCTCCCATGCGGGGCAGGCCGGGGTTGTGAGGGGCCAGCCGGCCTGCGGACTAGGCCGGGGGCGTGAGGAGGCAGGTCTGCCGGGGACAAGGCCGGGGGCGTGAGAGGCGGTTCTGCCGGGTCCGGGGCGCGCGGGGCAGGTTGCGCGAAGAGGCGGAAAGTTCCACTCGCCCTCGGCCTCTCCCTGCCCGGCCGCCGGTGTCCCGCCCGCCGCCGTCCCGCACAGCCTGGCCCGACCCGCGGCGATGGCCCAGCCTGGGGACCCGCGGCGCCTCTACAGGCTGGTGCAGGAGGGCCGGCTGCGCGCCCTGCAGGAGGAGCTGCAGGCGGCGGGGGGCTGCCCGGGGCCAGCCGGGGAGACCCTCCTGCACTGCGCCGCGCGCCACGGGCATCGGGACGTGCTAGCCTATCTGGCCGAGGCCTGGGGCATGGACATCGAGGCCACCAATCGAGACTACAAGAGGCCTCTGCACGAGGCGGCCTCCATGGGCCACCGAGACTGCGTGCGCTACCTGCTGGGCCGGGGGGCAGCGGTCGACTGCCTGAAGAAGGCCGACTGGTAGGTGTGGAGACACCCAGCCTCGTCTCTACCCGCAGAGTCGTAGCGAGTTCCTTGTGCTTCTCCATCCCCTCGGACACCATAGCTATTTTCAGCTCCTAGTCTCACCCCAGGCCTACCCAGCGGCAGGGACCTCCTGCCCAACTTTCCCTTAAAACGCAGTTGACCTGCAGAGTCTGTCGTTCTTGCCCTTGTTGGTTAACTGACCCGGCCAGTCACCTCCCTTTCTAGAGCACAGAATAATGTAGAATATAACCAAACAGAATGTTACCAAACAATGAAGTGTGTGCACTGTACAGATAGCTCCTGGATGCGACGTTCTGGAGACATTTAGCTCAGTTACTTCTGCATCAATGCATGGTTTCAGTTGACATTGCTCCAATCAATATCCAGAATTCCTGAGTTATTCACGCACTTGTGTGTGTAGAGCACTGTGCAGCTGTATCACATACGTGCAGCCATGGATAACCACCACAGTCAAACCACACCATCACACAAGCCAATTGCATTTCATTTGTTAGATTGACGCTGATTTCAGTACTCACTAGGTCAGGTTCGTTAGAGGGTGTGAACCTCTTTAGGAACATGGGGAAGTACGTCTTCCCCAGTGGGGCAGGGGAATAGACCCGGTTGTTTTGAGGGTTGTCTGTGGGTTTTCTTAGCTCTGCCCCAATTCACTGCTCTCCTGTGAACTAGCTCATAAGCAGCTTTGTCTCCCAGGCACCCTCTCCTCTAGGTACACATTCGTTACAATCATTTTCCCCTTATTATTTCTCCCAGGGTCCTCACAGAAGGCACAGAGGTCGCCGGTCAAAGCTGTTTCCTGCCTGCCAGAGCCCCAACCCTCTAGGTTTCCTATCTGTGCCAAGGATGTGTGTGTTTTGAAGACCTGGCCCCTGGCTTCTAATGTCTCAGCTGCTTCCATCTGACAGCTTCTCCTGGTTGGCCTTAGGACTCCTCTGATGATGGCCTGCACAAGGAAGAACCTGGGGGTGATCCAGGAGCTGGTGGAACATGGCGCCAATCCACTCCTGAAGAACAAAGATGGCTGGAACAGTTTCCACATTGCCAGTCGAGAAGGCGACCCTCTGATCCTCCAGTACCTGCTCACTGTTTGCCCAGATGCCTGGAAGACAGAGAGCAAAATTAGAAGGACTCCTCTGCACACTGCAGGTACAGCCTACAGCTCTGCAGGCGTGCAGTACACACATGTGGCTGCTTCACCCAGCCCTGCCCAACCTCATCTTGTTCAGGTTACCTTCTGGGGAAAAGAGGATTTTGGAAAACAGAAGGCAGAGAATAAGAACATCTGGGTGGAGGAGGGGGTGGGGGGTGCGCAGGTACGGTGGCTCACGCCTGTAATCCCAACACTTTGGGATGCTGGAGGCAGGTGGATCACCTGAGGTCAGGAGTTCAAGACCAGTCTGGCCAACATGGTGAAACCCCATCTCTACTAAAAATACAAAAATTAGCTGGGCATGGTTGCGGCTCCCTGTAATCCCAGCTACTCGGGAGCTCTAGAGTCTGAGGCCAGAGAATGACTTAAACCCAGGAGGCAGAGGTAGTACTGAGCGAAGATTGCATTACATTACACTACAGCCTGGGCAATAAGAGCAAACCTCCATCTCAAAAAAGAAGAGCATTTAGGGGCCTTTTGGCATATAATCAATTTCTAAAACTAACATAACTTGGCTAGCATGCTGTTGTATTAGTTTATTTTTCGTATGTATCTGTGTTATCCTCCCTAGATTATTTGCCCATGAGCTGGTTCTGTGGTACATAGTCTTTGGCCTTGGGCAAGGAAATCAGTCTCTCTCTTGAGCAAGTTTCCTCATCCACCAAATAATGTCAGTGATGGTATGTCTCAGGGTTGTGGTAGAGTTTAAAGAGCGTGATGTATGTAAATCCTTTAGAAGATGCTTGGCACATAGCACGAAGTAACTGGTTAGTGCTATTTTCTTTATCATGTTTACATCGTTACTCTTGAAGGAGGGAAATATATGTCCTCATAGCCTTAGTAACACCTACCATAGTGCTATACATTTAAATAAATATAGTACTCATAATTAAATGCCTTGGCCCAATAACATCTAATGTAAATTTGGGTTACAGTTTTTATTATTTGGAGTAGTAATTCTTAACTCTGAATTAGCTATTTGTAGATTATTTTAAATTAGTAAAAAGTTTCTATTTGCTCATTTGTTTGAAGAAAGTAAAAAGAAAAGCAATTAGTAAAAAGTAAAACTACTGTAATTTCAGAAATTAGATATTAAGGAGCTCAAGAGTCTAGATCAAAAAATTCAGAAAATAACTTGTAGCTTTCTAGATAGTACACTGATTAGGATACAGGGCTTTTAGTTTCTCTAAAAATCATCACTTGTGACATTTTATAGTGTTGCTTTTTGTTTTTTGTTTTTTGGTTTTTTTTTTGACAGGGTCATGCTCTGCCGCCCAGGCTGGAATACAGTGGTGTGATCTCGGCTCACTGCAACCTCTGCCTTGTAGGTTCAAGTGATTCACGTGCCTAAGTCTCCTGAGTAGCTGGGATTACTGGCACGTGCCACCACGCCCAGCTAATTTTCATATTTTTAGTAGAGACGGGTTTAACCATGTTGGCCAGGCTGGTCTCGAACTCCTGACCTCAGGTGATCCACCCACCTCGGCCCCCCAAAGTGCTGGGATTACAGGCATGAGCCACAGTTGGCAATTAGGGACCAAGGAATCCTTTCTAAAGCTTTGCAAGTAAGTAGAAAACTTTTTTTTAGCTCATAAATTATTTGACCAGTTTCTCCCCTGGAGAAACAATCAGCACTCCATCATTCACCCAAAGTAGGGGAAGACAAATAGTCATAACCTTTGAGTATAGTTACTTTTGGTAGGGGAATTAAATCCAGGCTATTTTGTCATGGATTACTATTACAATATTTTGCATTTCCTGGGCAAAAATGGACTAGCCTTGGGGATTCGCAGCACAGAAGCGTAAGTTTAGGATTGAAAGTTTCCCGTGAAAGTGCACGTAAAGATAAGATAATCAAGTGTTGACTGCATACATATAAAGTGAAAACATTGTTTACCACTTTATCCAGTTAAATATTTATTTGTGTAGGGCAGTAACAGTGTACCCTATTTAATGACTCCTTCTTGTAAGCTATCACTAATAGAATGGGGCAGAGAGCAAAGCGAGGAGGCAGGAAGTATTTTATGTGTGCACTAAAAAGCTCTAATTGTCAGCTTTCTCCTCCCAGCAATGCATGGCCATTTAGAGGCAGTCAAGGTGCTTCTTAAGAGGTAAGAACAATACAACAAGTTGGGGAAAATATTTGCTAACTATGACAAAGAGTTATTATCAGTGCTACGTAAAGAGCTCAGACACATTTTTAAGAAAGAAATTAGGCTTTCAAAAGAAAAATAAACAAAAGACATAAGCAGTTAAAGAATATAAAAAATAAAGATCTGGGGAAATGTTTTCAGTGGCAAAATCATCCATTTTTCTATTTTTTTCAACAAGCATTTATACAAATTCATTTAGCACTTAATATAAAGTAAGCCCTGTACCAGGTGCGGGGGCCACAACAGAACAAGACACATGTAGTTTCTACCCTCCTGGAACTCACAGACTGGCAGGAAAGACGCACCATGAAGGAGTCCCGAAAGTCCGGTGTGCATTACAAGGACTTGCAGGATCCTTACAGAACAAATAATGGGAAGACCCAATTTGGCTTAAGAGTAAAGAATCTCAGCGCCAGTGTTTAAGCTGTGACCTGAAGGAGAAAAAGAAATTAGCTGAAAGCGGGAGGCAAGGGAGCATTCCAGACAGCAATAACAGCACCCACGGATGCTCCCAGCCAGGAAAAAGTGTGGTAGATTGAAGAAACCGAAAGATGCCTAGAATATGCTGAAGCCTGAACATTGAAGGGGAGGGTGAATGCTATCAGCCACATTGAGGATTTTCCCTTTTTTTTTTTTTTTTTTTTTAAGTTTTTGAGATGGAGTTTCCCTCTTGTTGCCCAGACTGGACTGCAGCGGCGCAATCTCAGCTCACTGCAACCTCCACCTCCCAGGCTCAAGCGATTCTCCTGCCTCAACCTCTTAAGTAGCTGGGATTGCAGGTGCACACCACCATACCCAGCTAATTTTTTATATTTTTGGTAGAGACAGGGTTTCACCATGTTGGCCAGGCTGGTCTTGAACTCCTGACCTCAGGTGATCCACCCACCTCGGTCTCCCAAAGTGCTGGGATTACAGTCGTGAGCCACCGTGCCCAGCTTGGACACAGATGTCTTAAATATTTTGGCTGTGGAATTGAGGGATGGGGGTAATCAATTGATTAGGAAGGATGAGAGAAAGGTAGTGGCAAGGGATGACTTCAGGGCCTCTGGTGCAGGAAGCTGAAGGACCAAGTGCTGTCAAATGGGATGGAGAAGGTTAGAGGAACAACGGGTCTGCTGGGGAAGACTATCATGCTCCTGAAGGCTTAGTGCTCAGTTCGGACACTGAGGTGGGGGAGAATAGAGAGAGCTCCACGCGCACAGGCCATTTCCACACATGCAGTCCACCTGCAGATGATCAGGTGTCAACTGTCCCTTGGGTTTGAGGTGGTGAATTTTCTCAGCTCTTACTTGGGGTTTTGGCTCTAGGTGCCAATATGAACCAGACTACAGAGACAACTGTGGCGTCACCCCCTTGATGGATGCAATCCAGTGTGGTCACATCGATGTCGCTAGGCTGCTCCTTGATGAACATGGGGTATAAAAATGGTTGTGTTTTTATTCTTTTGGTTCTTCTTACACATTTTAGGTCACAGGCTAAACAGAGCACATCGTTGCTCAGATCCCAGGTTCCATTCCCCAGCCCTTCCAAACTCTCTCTGCGACTTGGTGACCTCTTTAAGCACCAGTGTTCCCATCTGTAAAATGGAGAGAAATTTAGTTTCTTCAGAAAGTTGTAGGAGGATTAAATAATATAATGTACATAAAGCAGTTGGCAAAATATTCAGTAAATGGTAGCTGTTTTATAGCAATAATAACAACAAATTGTCTCTGCTGAGAGTGCTTTTGGCACCATAGCCTGGAACATTGAATCATAACCATCTTTTTGATTAGAGAGCCCTTTTTTGAGAGCAGGGCATGATGGCTCATGCCTGTAATCCCAGCACTTTGGGAGGCCAAAGCAGGTGGGTAACCTAAGGTCAGGAATTTGAAACTAGCCTGGCCAGCATGTTAAAACCCATCTCTACTGAAAATATAAAAATTAGCCAGGTGTAGTGGCACACACCTGAGGCTGAGGCAGGAGACTTGCTTGAATGAAGGAGATGGAGGTTGCAGTGAGCCAAGATTGCACCACTGCACTCCAGCCTGAGCAACAGAGTGAGACTTTGTCTCAAAAAAAAAAGAGTCCTTTGAGGATGAGACAAAAGCTACATATCCTCCACCCAGAGAGCTATCCGTAAACAGCTCAGTGTTGCTGAAGCGCCAGCAGGTGCCCAGATCTGAGTTGCCCTGTTTCTTATCTTTGACCTTTGCTCCTTTCTCTCCTCTGCCCACTAGGCTTGCCTTTCAGCAGAAGACAGCCTGGGTGCCCATGCTCTGCACAGGGCAGCTGTCACAGGGCAGAACAAAGCCATCCGATTCTTGGTCTCTGAACTTGGCATCGATGTAGATGTGAGAGCCACATCAACCCACCTCACAGCACTTCATTATGCAGCTAAGGTTTGTTACTTCTTATAACATTGTCCCAGCTTCCCCGAGGCTTGCCTTACTCCATTGATGGGTAGCTCCGTAGCCTGGTTTCTTTGGCCCCATCTCTGTGGAGGAAATTGCCCATGATATTCTTCTGAAATGGTCAGGATTCTGAAGCAGTTTATCTCTTCAAACAGAAACCTAACTTGAATTTGTTTCTAGGCAAAAACTTACTTAAAAAAAAAAAATTTTACTCCATAAAGTGCCTCCCCGCTCACACACAGGTTTTTGTTTTCAGGAATAATGTTATTTGAAGCCATAAATACCCATTGTATGAAATTCTTGGCTCTCCGTTCTTATACTGGATTCCAGAAGTTAAGAACTCTTCAGCCAGGGCAAGAGAATTGCATTTACTAGGCTCTCTGGGGTGTGAAATATTGAAGATAAACAAACATTTTCAGTGGAAAAGTAGCTATTTTAAATGCTAGGAGCGTTTTGCATATTATCCTTAACATTATCTATTGGCTCTATGCCTTTACTTATTTTTTGTTTTTTTGTTTATTTGTTTTTGTTTTTGCTTTTGTTTTGAGATGGAGTCTTGCTCTGTTGCCCAGGCTGGATTACAGGTGCGTGCCACCATGCCTGGCTAATTTTTTTTTTTTTTTTTTTTTTTTTTTTTTTTTTTTGAGACGGAGTCTTGCTCTGTCGCCCAGGCTGGAGTGCAGTGGCGCGATCTCGGCTCACTGCAAGCTCCGCCTCCCGGGTTCACGCCATTCTCCTGCCTCAGCCTCCCGAGTAGCTGGGACTACAGGCGCCCACAACCGCGCCCGGCTAATTTTTTGTATTTTTAGTAGAGACGGGGTTTCACCATGGTCTCGATCTCCTGACCTTGTGATCCGCCCGCCTCGGCCTCCCAAAGTGCTGGGATTACAGGCGTGAGCCACCGCGCCCGGCCTCTGGCTAATTTTTGTATTCTTAGTAGAGACGGAGTTTCACCATGTTGGCCAGGCTGGTCTTGAACTCTTGACCTCATGATCCACCCACCTCGGCCTTCCAAAGTGCTGGGATTACAGGTGTAAGCCACTACGCCTGGCCTACTTGTTTTTCTAATCAATTACATTCTCCTGCCTGATGTCTTGCTTTCGAGCAGCTGGGTAGATACACATGGATGTGCTCTGTGGCCACAGGGTCCTCCCATAGGAAGAGTGAACCTGGAACCTTAATTGTAGTCTCATCACATAGTAGCAGACTAACTGGCTAGACAAAGAGTGTATAAATTATTTCATAGGCCGAGCGTGGTGACTCACTCCTGTAATCCCAGCACTTTGGGAGGCCGAGGCAGGTGGATCATGAGGTCAGGAGATCAAGACCATCCTGGCTAACATGGTGAAACCCCATCTCTACTAAAAATACAAAAAATTAGCTGGACGTGGTGACAGGTGCCTGTAGTCCCAGCTACTAGGAAGGCTGAGATAGGAGAATGGCATGAACCTGGGAGAAGGAGCTTGCAGGGAGCCGAGATCGCGGCCACTGCACTCCAGCCTGGGCAACAGAGCAAGAAAAAAAAAAAAAGATCAAGACCATCCTGGCCAACATGGTGAAACCCTGTCTCTGCTAAAAAAATTACAAAAAAATTTAGGCTGGGTGTGGTGACGCATGCCGGTAGTCCCAGCAACTAAGGAGGCTGAGGCAGAAGGATCACTTGAACCCAGGAGGCAGAGGTTGCAGTGAGCCAAGATCATGCCACTGCACCCCACCCAGACTACATCTCAAGACTACATCTCAAATATATATATTTATTTTATAAATAATATTTTATTTTACAAAATATAATAATTCCTACTAGCTGTAATAGGAATTCCCATTTATGAGAGGTTATGATCTTTTCTAGTTTATCTGTGCCCTAAAGATTTTAACGAAGGGCCGGGCGCGGTGGCTCAAGCCTGTAATCCCAGCACTTTGGGAGGCCGAGACGGGCGGATCACGAGGTCAGGAGATCCAGACCTCCTGGCTAACACGGTGAAACCCCGTCTCTACTAAAAAATACAAAAAACTAGCCGGGCGAAGTGGCGGGCGCCTGTAGTCCCAGCTACTCGGGAGGCTGAGGCAGGAGAATGGCGTAAACCTGGGAGGCGGAGCTTGCAGTGAGCTAAGATCCGGCCACTGCACTCCAGCCTGGGCGACAGAGCCAGACTCAGTCTCAAAAAAAAAAAAAAAAAATATTTTAACGAAGAGTGTATTTGCTTGGGAAATTTTAGAGTTTTGGGTTCTGTATAAATCACAAGATTTGTACTGCTCACAATGATGGAAACTAACTGCATTGGGTCAGTAATTTGGCCCACAGAGTTGATCATCTATATTCTAATAATTAAATGTCACCAAAATGTTTATTTAATGATTTATACTAGAATTGAGAATGATACACTATCTTACTTTAGATATGAAAATTTGGCCAGGCACAGTGGCTCACACCTCTAATCCCAACACTTTGGGAGGCTGAGGTGGGAGGATCCCTTGAGCCCAGGAGTTTGCAATCAGTCTGGACAACATAGTGAGACTTTGTCTCTACAAAAAAAAAAGAATAAATTAGGGGAAAAAAGATATGAAAATTCACTTTTAGCAGTTGACTGTTTTAGAAAAGGTGCCTAATGTATGTTAGAGTCTGGGTTTAAAGTGTGAAAGGAAAATAAAAACTTAAGATCCCCAAGTCACTCTGCCAAAAGAAAAAAAAATTAAACTGAAAGCTGAGTCATACGGAAAGCTGCCTTTCCTTTTGTTCCTAAGCAGATAGCTACAGATAAAGGGTTAAATATTTCCACAGGTAGCTACTTTATATTCACCTTATCTTATGTAAAGTGCCAATTTACTGAGCAGAAGGAGATATTTAATGTATCGTTGCCTATTCCCCCCACCTACTCCTTTTATCCTGCAGCGTGGATTCAGTAATGTGACCGTACCCTCCCCTCCTTTTCACTCCAGCCCTCATCCCCTTTAAATATTGAAGCCCTCAAAATCATCTTTGGAGAGAGACACAGATCTGTCTCTCGGGTATGTCCTTAACCTTGGCAAAATAAACTTCTAAATTGATTGAGACCTGTCTCAGATACTTTTTGGTTTGCAAAAGGTTTTCTTTTATCCCCCTCACAGTGATAACAAATTTGTTTCAATTCAGGAAGGACATACAAGTACAATTCAGACTCTCTTATCCTTGGGAGCTGACATCAATTCTAAAGATGAAAAAAATCGATCAGGTACCGTTTAATTTTGTATATGCCTTGGAAATTAGTAAACTGAGTATAACCAATACACTTTTATATTTAAAACATTGATTTTATATTCTTCCTTTTTTTTTTTTTTTTTTGTGGTGGTTTTTTTTTTTTTTTTTTTTTTGAGACGGAGTCTCGCTGTGTCGCCCAGGCTGGAGTGCAGTGGCCGGATCTCAGCTCACTGCAAGCTCTGCCTCCCGGGTTTTTACGCCATTCTCCTGCCTCAGCCTCCCGAGTAGCCGGGACTACAGGCGCCCACCACCTCGCCCGGCTAGTTTTTTGTATTTTTTAGTAGAGACGGGGGTTTCACCGTGTTAGCCAGGATGGTCTCGAACTCCTGACCTCATGATCCGCCCGTCTCGGCCTCCCAAAGTGCTGGGATTACAGGCTTGAGCCACCGCGCCCGGCCGTGTGGTGGTATTGTTGAGACAGAGTTTCCCTCTGTTGCCCAGGCTGGAGTGCAGTGGCGCACCATTTCAGCTCACTGCAACGTGCACCTCCTGGCTCAAGTGATTCTCGTGCCTCAGCCTCCTGAGTAGCTGGAATTACAGGCATGCACCACGATGCCTGGCCAGTTTTTGTATTTTTAGTACAGACAGGGTTTCCCTGTGTTGGCCAGGCTAGTCTTGAACTCCTGACCTCAAACAATCTACCTGCCTTGGCCTCCCAAAGTGCTGGGATTACAGGCATGAGCCACTGCGACCAGCCTTAATATTATTCTTCTAATAGCTCAGCTACTTTTCCTTAAAATATCTGTTTCTCTTCATATAATTGTTATTATAGCAGTGATGATGACTGCCACTCATTACAACTGCTGTTGTTAACCTTTGTTATTATTTTAAACCATAACAATATATGCATCATAAAAGCAGTCTCTTTCTAATCCATGATGACACTTGCTAGCCAGGTATTGTATCAGTTCTTCGCAGGTCATCCATTTTGGAGTATAGAACTATATTCACTATTATTTTTTTTTTATTTAGAATATTCAGAAACATTCTGAGAGCGAATTCTTTAGACTGGGACTTTAAAATAAACCCTCTAACATTTTGTGAGCCAAAGACCATCTTGCAAGGGTTTAGTGGAATCTTTTTTTTTTTTTTTTTTTGTCACGCTGTTACCCAGTCAGGAGGGTAGTGGCATGGTCTTGGCTCACTGCAACCTCTGCCTCCCAAGTTCAAGCGATTCTTCTGCCTCCCAAGTAGCTGGGACTACGGGTGCCCACCACCATGCCCAGCCAATTTTTGTATTTTTAGTAGAGACAAGGTTTCACCATGTTGGCCAGGCTGGTCTCAAACTCCTGACCTCAAGTGATCTGCCCACCTCGGCCTCCCAAAGTGCAGGGATTACAGGTATGAGCCACTGCACTTGGCCTAGTGAGATCTTTCTGATGCTTCAAAGACTTGCAGGAACCTACCTAGTCCCTCTAGGGCTGGAAAGGGCAGCTGCTCTGCCCAGGAAGGGACACCGCTTCTCTGCTGGAGGGAAGGCAGCAGAACCACCAGTGCCCCTGAACTCAGCACACCAGGAACCTCAGTATTGATTTCTATACCCAGAGTGGGAAGCTTGTTCAACAGTGTTTTTTTGGTTACATGATTATTTGTGGTGATAGTTTTATTTACAAAGCAAATTCAATAAACCTTTTAGAAAGTTTTTTGTACCATTTTAAGTGTGTTTCTAGAGCATTCCGGAGTATGGAGAGGATGTCTCCTATATCTTGTTAACTTGCTCTGTTGCTTCTTGTTTTAGATCAGTTTCTTTTTCTTTTTCTTTTTTTTGAGACAGTCTTGCTCTGTCACCCAGGCTGGAGTGCAGTGCTTACTGCAACCTCCACCTCCCAGGTTCAAGTGATTTTCCTGCCTCAGCCTCCTGAGTAGCTGGGATTACAGGCACGCACCACCACGCCTGGCTAATTTTTTAATTTTAGTAGAGATGGGGTTTCACCATGTTGGTCAGGCTGGTTTCACACTCTTGACCTCGTGATCTGCCCACCTCAGCCTCCCAAAGTGCTGGGATTACAGGCATGAGCCACCGCGCCCGGCCTAGATCAATTTCTTAAATCCTCTCTAACTGGTTTTGTTATCTTTAAAACTATTTTCAACCCAATCAGGTTAAAAAGAAAAATATTTTGATCTAGTGTAGGTGAAGTTGTGAAAATGAATTATGGAAGATATTGAAAGAATCGATATTCTTATTGGGCACTATCAACTCACAAGGTCAGTATTGCTCCAGGGGTTGTGTTTTTAAGTCCACATGATTTTTGTCACCCCTCAGCCCTGCATCTGGCCTGTGCAGGTCAGCATTTGGCCTGTGCCAAGTTTCTCCTACAGTCGGGACTAAAGGATTCTGAAGACGTCACGGGCACACTGGCTCAGCAGCTCCCAAGGAGAGCAGATGTCCTTCAGGGCTCTGGCCACAGCGCAATGACATAAGGATGTTTCCAAGAGGAGGCAGTAAAGCGCATGGTAATTCATACCCTGCTTCTTAAGTCAGTCACAGATTCAGCGAAACGAGTTGGAAGCCAGTTTTCCATCTCCTCCTCTTCCTCCCTTCCCTCCTCCTGCATGTTCCCCTCCTGCTGAGGAGTTCCCAGTGATCAGGGGGCTGAATTCCCAGCTCCATGACAGGCACATTATGGAGTCCTGGGCACAGTCATAATCTTCCCGTAGTCCATATTTCACTGTTTGTATTCTTAAAGTAGAATAGATAATGTTTGTGAGATCAGATTGTGGGATCCTTAGAGAAGCACGCACCATGCATGAATATAATGAATATAATATAGTATGCACACTTTCACAAATATATGAAATATAATAACTGCTGCATGGTAAGGCTATGATAATAATAACAAAAATATCACATACATTGCTATTAACTTGAGCCATAAAATGTAGTTGACCTGTTTAATTTCTTCCTTCATAAGCTTTTACTTGGCCATTACAATGGTTCACTTTTGGTTTCGTAGCCAAGAAGGACATACTTATAATCTGTTTGCACAGGCATTTACAAGAAATTAATAAAGATTTTTATATATTCTAAACACTGCTCGTTAAGCTATCAAGTTTTAATCTTGAGGGTTTTTGTTTGTTTTAATAGATAAATTCAGTATTGGCCCCCTTCAAGTAATAAATACATGTAGAAAATGTAACTAAGGACCAGGCATGGTGGCCTGTGCCTGTAATCCCAGCACTTCGGGAGGCTGAGGCAGACAGATCACTTGAGGCCAGGAGTTCAAGACCAGCCTGGCCAACATGATAAAACCTCATCTCTACCAAAAATACAAAAATTAGCCAGGTGTGCTGGTGCATGCCTGTAGGCCCAGCTACCAGGGAGGCTGAGGCCCGAGAATTGCCTGAACCCAGCCGACAGAGGTTGCAGTGAGCCGAGATTGCGCCACTGCACTCCAGCCTGGGCAATGGAGCGAGACTCCGTCTCAAAAAAAGAAAGAAAATGTAACTAAGATATTTACAAAATTTCTGTTAAACTGAGTTGAAGAATGGGGTTTTGTCTTTAAAACCCATTTTCTGTCCTGTGCCGTCCACTCACAGAAGCCTCTGACTGTTAAGGAATGAAACACTTGACATTTAGCTTTAAAAGATATTGTAGCCTCTTAAATGGAGTAAAGATAGGATGAGTCCTCAGGCATTTAGATTCTTTTTCTACATTTTTCCTTTTCTTTTCCTTTTTTGATCCTTTTCTCTGAATTGCAAAGAATGATTATTATTTTAGGTCAGGCTTCTTTTTTTTTTTTTTTTTTTTTTTTGAGACGGAGTCTCGCTCTGTCACCCAGGCTGGAGTGCAGTGGCCGGATCTCAGCTCACTGCAAGCTCCGCCTCCCGGGTTCACGCCATTCTCCTGCCTCAGCCTCCCGAGTAGCTGGGACTACAGGCGCCCGCCACCTCGCCCGGCTAGTTTTTTGTATTTTTTAGTAGAGACGGGGTTTCACCGTGTTAACCAGGATGGTCTCGATCTCCTGACCTCGTGATCCGCCCGTCTCGGCCTCCCAAAGTGCTGGGATTACAGGCTTGAGCCACCGTGCCCGGCCAGATCAGGCTTCTTAATCATTGTATGCATCAGTCGCAAGCAACATTGAACCCTCTTGTTGAGTGTGATCCAGCAAGTGCTTATTGCACACCCACCTTATTCTCAGTGTTGGGCTCGGTTTGGCACAGAGCAAGAATTTCCTGTTCGTCTTAATTATTCCCAGATGGTATCAGCAGATTCCTGTTTCTAACCACCAAATCAGTGTTCTGGTAGAAACACTCCTGTCTTGTGACCTCTAAATTACACACACTCTCCATCTGCACTGATTTGAGATGAGTTACCACTTTCCTGTTGTTCCAGAGATACCTGCGTCAATGCCCTCTGGGGCTGAAGATGGTTCTGTTGTGTGGATATTTCACGTGTACAGATGGGACTGAAAGATCAGTCTGGGGCTGCCCTCTTTCCCCTCAGCACACACATGAGCAGCTTTGCGTTTGCAGCAGCTGCATGCACTATCAGTTTCCATTTGGCTTTGCTTCTGCCCTTACAAACAGCTTATGATGACAACACAGCATATTACACTGTTGTCCCCGGTTTTCCAAGATTCCATGCACTTTTGTAATAGAAACCATGGTTACCGGATGCCACTGCTGAAACTACTAGACACCCAGAGATGGCAGTGATTATAAGAACATTAATCGTGGGTTGGGCATGGTAGCTCATGCCTGTAATCCCAGCACTTTGGGAGGCCGAGGCAGGTGGATCACCTGAGGTCAGGAGTTCAAGACCTGCCTGGCCAACATGGTGAAACCCCATCTCTTCTAAAAATATGAAAATTAGCCCGGCATGGTGGCATGCACCTGTAATCCCAGCTACTTGGGAGGCTGAGGCAGGAGAATCACTTTAACCCAGGAGGGGGAGCTTGCAGTGAGCCAAGATCGTGCCACTGTACTCCAGCCTGGGCGACAAGAGCGAGACTCCATCTCAAAACAAAACAAAATTACCCTGGCATGGTGGCAGTCGCCTGTAATCCCAGCTACTTGGGAGGCTAAGGCAGAAGAATCGCTTGAACCTGGGAGGCAGAGGTTGCAGTGAGCCGAGATTGCACCACTGCACTCCAGCCTGGGTGACAGAGCGAGACTCCATCTCAAAAAAAAAAAAAAAAACATTAATTGCAGCAAAGAGAGTAGCAATAATAGAATAATAACCAGATGTTTCCATAACAATAATATATGAAGAATGCTCTGACAATGATGATAATATTTTTCTATTACTCCCTGATTATAGTTACTTTCCTCACCTCCTTTGGGTCTTTACCTACAAGCCACCTTCTCAGTGAGGCCTGCCCAGGCCACCCTATCTAAAATTGTATCCTTTCTTCAACATTTGATATCTTCTTTCCCCAATTTATTTTTTCTTCTTAGCATTTGCTATTAGCAAATGTACCATATAATTTATTTATTTTGTTCATTGTTTTTCTCCCCCACTGGTATGCAGGCTCCTTGGACTGATTTTTGTCTTTTAAATTTAAAAGTATTATATAGTTAATGAATGTGCGATAAAAGCCCTTTGTGTGCATCGAGCACTTACTATATGCAAGATAGTGCTAAACCCTTACCTAGATTGTCTCATTTTGTCCTCTGACTCTTGCACCCTGCAGCCCCTTCTCATTGTTATTCCCTCTGGAGCATCTTTTCCCATACACACGTTCAGGAAGAGTCTCTGCTTGATACCCTCAGTTGGTAGGCACCACCCACCCCCCTGCAGTCCTGCGTCATTGTTGCTGCTCTGTTTAGACTCTTCCTTTCAGATACCAGCGACATCCTAATTGCCATATCAAGTGATGTACTTTTAGCCCTTAGGTTACTGACCCTTTCAGTTCACTTACTGATCACTGCCCCCTTCTGGAGTCTTGCCACATGCAATATGCACTCCTGGATTTTTCCTTCTGCCTTTTCCATCTCTGCCTCTGCACTCCTCTGTCAGGCCGACCCTCCATGCTCATGTGTACCAGCTTCTGTCTCCAGCATCTCCCTCATTCTGGGTTTTCTCTTGAAGCATTGTTGTCCAGGACTCGGGTTTCAGCGACACCCTAATGTCAGTAACACTCAGATCTCTCTAGCCCTTACTTTCCACCGCCTGCTTACATTTCTGCATGGATGTTCTGAGGCCGTCTCATATTCAGTTTATTCAAAACCCAGCCTTCCCCACAACCCACTGACGTACAGGCCTGCACTCCTGCCTTGGTTGATGGCACCACAGCTCACCCCACCGTGTTGGAAAACTGGGGGTCAGTCGTGACTGCTCCCTCTTCGGGGGTCCCTGCGGAGGCCTGCTGCTGGGCGGCTCTCTAATCTGCCTGTTCCACACCATCCCTACTGTCACTCCTAGAGAGTGGCAGCCATGTCTTAAACACGCCTCTCCACGTCCTCAAATCCACCCTCCACACGGCTGCCAGGGCGTTCTCACTAATGTGACCAAGGGCATTGATTGCCAATTGTGGCTTAACGTGCCTCCCAGAGCACGTACTACACTTTTGCCAGGATTTCTGATTGCCTCAACTAACGCCCACTTCTGCCAGGGCTATCAGCTGGTCCTAAAAGCACACCCGCTCCCATGGTGAGTGTGTGTTATTAAAAGAAGCTCAATCAAAGCAGAAGTCTCGGCCGGGCACGGTGGCTCACGCCTGTAATCCCAGTATTATGGGAGGCCGAGGCGGGCAGATCACGAGGTCAGGAGATCGAGACCATCCTGGCCAACATGGTGAAATCCCATCTGTACTAAAAATACAAAAATTAGCTGGGCGTGGTGGCAAACGCCTGTAATCCCAGCAACTTGGGAGGCTGAGGCAGGAGAATCGCTGGAACCCGGGAGTTGGAGGTTGCAGTGAGCCAAGATCGCCACTGCACTCCAGCCTGGCAACAGAGTGAGACTCCGCCTCAAAAAAAAAGTCACTGAAAAGAGATGGAAAGAGGTAAAAGTTGTAATGACTTGAAAATAGCGAGGACCGGCCGGGCGCAGTGGCTCAAGCCCGTAATCCCAGCACTTTGGGAGGCCGAGACGGGCGGATCACGAGGTCGGGAGATCGAGACCATCCTGGCTAACACGGTGAAACCCCGTCTCTACTAAAAATACAAAAAACTAGCCGGGCGAGGTGGCGGGCGCCTGTAGTCCCAGCTACTCCCGAGGCTGAGGCAGGAGAATGGCGTAAACCCGGGAGGCGGAGCTTGCAGTGAGCTGAGATCCGGCCACTTCACTCCAGCCCGGGCTACAGAGCAAGACTGCGTCTCAAAAAAAAAAAAAGAAAATAGCGAGGACCTAACATATATTACCACAACAATTTATACCAGAAAATACACAAGACAAGATGGAAAGGATCACAGAATGGAAACGAGATGGCAAGTCAGGCTAAAGCCTGAGGGAACTATAGGGAGGGTGCTCAGACAGTGAGAAGAGAGAGGAGCAAGCACTGAATTGAATTTAACCTGGGACGTTGCTAGAATTCACCAGCAGGTGGCAGACCAGAAAAATGTCCCTTTTAATCTCTGACTTTTGTTTGTAAAGCCTATTGTAAAATACAGAAGATAGTAAAGGAGAAAACAAAAAATAATCTATAGTTCCATCAGCCAGATGGAACCACTCTTATTTCCCCTTAGTCTTTCAAAATGCATATAGGGCTGAGCACAGTGGCCCATACCTATAATCCCAGCACTTTGGGAGGCCGAGGCAGGCCTTGAGGTCAGGAGTTCGAGACTAGCCTGGCTAACATGGTGAAACCCCATCTCTACTAAACATACAAAAAGTGGCCAGCCATCCTGGGCACGGTGGCTCACGCCTGTAATCCTAGCACTTTAGGAGGCCGAGGCAGGCGGATCATGATGTCTGGAGATCGAGACCATCCTGGCTAACACAGTGAAACCCTGTCTCTACTAAAAATACAAAAAAGTTAGCTGGGCGTGGTGGTATGTGTCTATAGTTCCAGCTACTTGGGAGGCTGAGGCAGGAGAATTGCTTGTATCCAGGAGGCGGAGGTTGCAGTGAGCTGAGATCATGCCACTGCACTCCAGCCTGGGCAACAGAGCAAGACTCCATCTCCAAAAAAAAAAAAAATTTAGCCGGGTGTGGTGGGGCACGCCTGTAGTCCCAGCTACTTGGGAGGCTGAGGCATAGAATCGCTTGAACCCAGGAGGCAGAGGCTGCAGTGAGCCGAGATCACACCACTGCACTCCAACCTTGGCAAGAGAGTGAGACTCCGTCCAAGAAATAAAAAATAAAATGTGGGGCCAGGTGCAGTGGCTCACACCTGCAATCCCAGCGCTTTGGGAGGCCAAGGAGGGCAGATCACGAGGTCAGGAGATCGAGACCATCTTGGCTGACACAGTGAAACCCCATCTCTACTAAAAATAGAAAAAATTAGCCAGGTGTGGTGGCGGGCACCTGTAGTCCCAGCTACTCAGGAGGCTGAGGCAGGAGAATGGCATGAACCCAGGAAGCAGAGCTTGCAGTGAGCCGAGATTGCACCACTGCACTGCAGCCTGGGCAACAGAGTGAGACTCTGTCTCAAAATAAATGAATAAAAAATAAATAAAATGCATACAGTTGAGCTGATGCTGTATATGCAGTTTTTCACTTAACTTTGTTTATTCATTTTGGAGACAGTCTTGCTCTGTCACCCAGGCGGGGGTGCAGTGGCACAATCTCGGCTCACTGCAGCCTGCATCTCCTGGGTTCAAGCAATTCTCATACCTCAGCCTCCTATGTAGCTGGGATTACAGGCGCCCTCCACCACGCCTGGCTAATTTTTGTATTTTTAGTAGAGACAGGGTTTCACTATTTTGGCCAGGCTGGTCTCGAACTCCTGACCTCGAGTGATCGGCCCACCTCAGCCTCCCAAAGTGCTAGGTTTACAGGTGTGAGCACTATGCTTGGCTCTCTAACTTTACATTACAAGCAAATCCTAATGCTCTTTAAAACTTTGTGAATGTCGTGTTTCATGGCCGTCTTATGCTCCATCGTATTGCCGTCCGTATTGAGTCGTGTGTGTTGCCTCTTTCGTTGGTTTCCATTTTGTTTTTAAGATGTAGACAGAGTAATCAGTAGAGCTCTGTCAAATTCAACTGGAGGCAAGGGTGGCAGGTTGAGGACAGAAACGGCTGTTGGATTTGATTACCGGAGGTTGGGCCGCGCGAGTGGGTGGGAGACATGGGCTGCACGGGGACCTGAGCAACTCTGCGCCCTTGGCTGCGTTGTGTGATGAAGGAAAGGAAAGAAGAAAGTGGTTTGACAGGACAGTAGTTTTCTCCGAGAGGATGAGTGAGGGGATGAG